GTGTACTGCTTGGAATTAGTGAGGGTTTCATTCTACTGAAATAAAACTTTGTTTCTATGAATCCCGACCGATAGCTGCTACCTTGACGTGGTGGTCGGCCTTGCATATCACAATGACCCAACCAGCTATGTTGGTGGAACACTTGTTCCCTAGAGGTCCTACCATACCAGAAAGGTCTGTTGGATAGTAGTTAGACGAAAAGCAGTTAGAGTTGTGGTGTAAATTACTACACTATGATGGGGGTCTGAGGGAGAAGTTGTAGTGCTGCTGGATGGATGGGGTGTGATAGCAGCAGGGTGTTTTCCTTGGATGACCAGCAGTGCCATGCTGCCTTCTCAGTGAGAGAGGGGTTGGGAGAGGTCGGCCCCGAAAATAACACACTCCACCATACCCCATGGTCTGCCGGGCCGGCGGTGTTGGTTCATTTGTCGTTTCCTTTCCACTATCCGGCCCTGGAGATTCGATTGGACGTGGTGGTTGTTGCAGGTGACTTCAATGCACAGGTGGGTAGACTGAGTGGGGCAGAAAGGCACCTAGGTGGCACTTTCAGAATCCCGGCTGAACGTACAGATAACGGTGATCGCCTACTACAACTATGCTCAGATGACTGCCTATTTTTAGCTAGCAAAAATATCAGACATAAAGAAAGACAGTTTGACGTGGCGTTCACTGAGCTCAACTCAGTGATGGACACAGATAGACCACATTGCTATTAGTCATCGCTGGAGAGGATCGGTGGAAGACCGCCGCTCCATCTGGAGTACGTGTTTGGACAGCGACCACGCGTTGGCCTGAGCGCGTATATGCCTGTATCTCAATGGACGTAAAAACACTTTGGCAACAAAACCACTACGAGTGCTGCTGGACAATGAAAACACCAAAGTTGTGTTCAATGAGAAGTTGGCTTGGCAGTTATCGGAACAGAAGACTACCACTCATCCAGAAGAAGCTTGGTGCCATCTTCAGTCTGCTGTAAAAGCAGCACTGAAGACCGTAGTCAACTCCAAAATAGTGGCTAGAAAGAGCCAGTGGATATCAGCAGATTCTCCCAAACTAATTATTATAAGCGCGTGAACGCATCCCTGCAGGCCTCAAGTACAATGAAGAGCGGGCACAACTTAAAAGTAGACTGAGAAAAAGCCTGAGCAACGACCGCTAACAGCGGTTGGCAGCGAAGGCTAAAGAGATGGGAAAGGTGGCGGCGATTAATAATAGTAGACAATTATGTAGACTTAATAAGGAAACTAGAGGGAAAAGGTTAACAACAGTTAGTGAGGCTATAGTGGAGAAGGACGGATCTGCGATTCACTCGCAGGCGAGACGACTGGAACGATCAGCAAAGCACTTCGAGGAACAGTTCAAACGGCCTCCAGCCACCATTGCGTTGCCCGCTATCCAGTCGATCCTGAATGGAACATTGAGAGAGGCCCCCTAACACTGTTAGAAGCCGAGAAAGCTGTAGGTAACCTGAAACGAGGAAGGGCAGCAGGACCAGACGGACTACCTGCTGACGTATACAAGAATGGTGGTAGAGTCCTCTTAGTCAGGTTGACGGAAGTGTTAACCAGTATATAGGAATCAAATACGATCCCCTCCGACTGGTCTAAATTACTAATTATCCCAGTCTTTAAGGTGAGAAGTCTTCTTGTGATAACTACAGAGGAATCAGACTTACGAACATAGTGTCTAAGATTCTAGGTTATATAATTTTCTGATGCCTGAGTGGACATCGAAAACAGCAAGCCCGAGTAAACCAGGCAGGCTTTAGACCTGGCCACGGGTGTATCGACCAAATATTCACGCTACGCCAGGTCCTGGAACGTAGACACACTTACCGACGCCCGAAACTAGCTGTATTTCTCGACCTGAAGGAGGCGGCATTCGACTCCGTTGACCGAGAAGTATTATGACAATGTCCCTCACTGAAAGGCGTGTCGAGTAAGTACATCACCTTATTGAAGGCTCTCTACTCGAACACTTGAGGGCATGTTAGAGCCTATAGTGAAATGTCAGGTGAGCTGCGCTCATCAACTACTGTCCGTCAACGGCGCTCACTCTCTCCATTCTTATTCAATTTTATCACAGATATTCTTATGGAGGTCTCCCTCTCGTCACCGGATTACACAGACGTTGATCGAATCGCAGGACAATTCTCGTTAGACCTAGAATATGCACATGACATAGTTCTGTTAGGTGAAGACGCTGACAAGATGCAGAGTCTTCTGAACACTTTGGGTGGCAAGTTGAGAATGTTTGGGATGTGTTTCTCACCACCCAAATGCAAATTGTTGCTCCAGAACTGGTCTTCAACGGTGATACAGCTAATAACAGACAGTGTAGTAATTGAGTGTGGCAACCACTTCACTTATCTGGGAAGTGGGATCAGCCCTGGTACGTTGGTCAGTGGCCGATGAAATCTCTCCACGGATACAAAAGGCTTGACTGGCGTTTGCCAATTTACCCCACAGATGACGCCGCCATGATATCCCTTTGGCTATTAATGGTCGCGTGTACTGCACAACAGTCCTCTCTCTCTCTCTCTCTCCCTATCCTACTGTATGGCTGTGAAACATGGCCATTCAACGTGGAAGATATGAGAAGGCTTCAAGTGTTTGACCACCGTCGCCTTCGTAGTATAAGCCGTATTCCATGGTGTCACCACGTGAGAAACCCAGAAGTCAGGTATAGACTTTTAGGGAGTAGAGGTAAACCAGTTGACGAGGTTATGAACCTTCGTCGACTGAGATGGTTTGGGCACGTACTATATATGCCTAGTCACCGATTGCCTCGTCACACAGTGTTGGCTGAAGTAGGTCCAGGCTGGAAAAAGGCCTGAGGAGGCCAAACTAAAACATGGCACCAATGCATGAAGTCTCTGACTTGGTTTGAGACATGCAGGGCGATGCAGACTAGATGGTTGGGGTCCGTGGGACAAGAGGAACCAGTGGCTGGAGACTCTAGGTGATATGGCTCAGAACCGATGTCAGTGGTGCAGATGTAACACACATTATCCTCATCTTAACGATGCTATACCGAATCTCACCACTTTCTCATTCTTCCTTTCTCTCTCCCTCTCTCTCCGTACTTTATATTTCTTTTGACTGAATTTTTTCATCTTCATCTTTCACCTCACTACCTTTCTACCTGATGTAGTGATATGAGGTATGGCAACTTGGACCGTTACGCAGTAATGCCTGGTCCTATGTTGATATTGATGATGATTCTATGAATCGAATAACTGGCAAACGAAAGAGTAGTTCTCAGCACAAAAAATGACAGCATTACTAATACTAAGAAAACATTTATTATTCGGCAACTACGCAGTGTAATACGGCAGGAGGATTATTCAGAAATACTCTGCAGACACGTTTTCTATAACGCCAATCTTTCCTTCTTTGTAGGTATATCCGACTCGTCTTCCAAATCATTTCCAACAGTATCAACATCATTACAAACGGGAGTAGGAAATTCGTTATCCAAAACATTGATGTGCTTGTCTTCCTCCAAAGTTTGCTCCAGTATGATAGTAGGAGTTGGATCCGAAGCTACTCGATAATAATACGTGTGTCTGTTCAGTGTTGAAAGCCATTCAAACATACTGAATATAACAATTAAATGAGTTAAGGTAATTGTAAACAATGTATGTACAGTGCTTGATTTTATACTAGTTTTATCTCAGTGTGAGACTCCTCAGCTCTGCGGACTCACGAACTAACCAAGGTTATCCAACTGATGGCAGTCCATGATGAATAAGCCTACGACTAAATTAATAAAATAATTTATTTTCCAGACACTTAAGTGCACAACTGTATGATTCGTAAAGCCATGACTGACTTCTTTCGGCACGGTTGTCAAAAAGTATTCAATATATTTGGCAGGCAATTTTGCCAAGTACTATTTGAGTAGTTAATAGAGATTTAATAAAATTTCTTAGTAAACTAATAACTTCCCACTGGAATAGAATTTCTCGGATAGTAAGGCGCATTGGTTAATGAATAAGGTGACTGTTCTTCTGGAGAGTGTAATAAGCAGAATGTCTGGATATCCCAATCAATTTTTAACTGTTTATAGGTGAGCAGTAATCGTGTCAAGACCGTCTAACGCAAATGATAGTCCTTTATCATCAAACTAGATTTCAGAGATAACATAGAGGATATACGGTGATCGGCCTGTTTGTAAAATGCAATCCTGTGAAGAAAGGTGAGTTGTGATTACTGTTTGAGTCTGTGACAGCAATTGAATTCCTTTAGGGTTGGATATACATTGTACTGACAAGTGGTCACAAGCTTAAAAGCCTAGGCTTGGAGTTGCTTGACAGGTGGCCTCACATAAACAACACTAACTGTCACGATGCAGAAATAATATGCTCAAAGATATATGTTCTATGTGTTCACAGATTTAAACGGATAAAAGTAATACTGAGTTGACTTTTTTCTGTTAAAACAAGTGAGAAACCCTACCAAGTTTACACTAAGAAAAGGCTGCTAACTTCAAGCAAGTAAAAGACGGTATACAAAAAAACCATATTACAAATAAACATCCCTTAGTTTTTCAGCGCTGGTAAACACGAGCATCTACTGTCAGTCAAGGAACCATAATCAACACAGCCTCAGAAAAAGGTCAGATAACTTATAATTACTGAAACATACCAAGCTGCCACTGATAAGTATACGTATGGTGTTTATCCATTGTTGAAACTCGCCCATTGAACATTCATCGGTTAAAAGTTATTGATGCACACGGAATCCAATTGGAGTCAGAACGCACACAGCGACCCTGTTGTGTACATTAGTGCAGTAAGTAACGGGATAATGATACAACTACCTGTCTACCCAATACTCGGTAGGTGGAACGGGATTCCAACCTATGATTCACTAGATGAGTCATCTCTTTAAATTAATGAGACCCAGGTTACAATGATGTACATACTTCACTGATATTTGACTACAAAATTCATGATAACAATTCACTATTAAATACTAAGTTGTATAAAAGGATACGATTTTTCTTCCACTTCAACTTGATCTATATGTTTGTAAATGTGCTGAAGTTTAAATTCATCCCTTTGTTCCTAAATAAACAAGATTTGTGTGAAAATAAATTGAGCATTTGAATCAACCAAGAAATAATTTTCTCAAATAAATATAATTGATGAAAACTGTTGTAATCGGATTTATTAGGATGAAGTATAATTTCAATTTCACATCAGGCCGATGAGGAACCGGTGAGAAACAAAATAAACTGATCCCATTTTGTTTATGATTTATTCACTAACACATCAGAAGAAAGTCAACAGAAAAGGGAACTAAACACGTTTATAACTATACAGTCAGTTAGGATAAAGGTCAAATCTAGTATTACTGCCTAACTATGCACATCGACGCACCTAATTTCAGGTGAACGATGAAGAAATAAGGAATGAAGTAGCCAAATTAATTGGAAATCGGTAAAACAGAACAGGAAGCAATGAAAAGACAATAAAATTCAGTATGACGATGAAGATAAAGATAATGGACGGATACATTGGGGTCACCGAGATCCACATTTTGTAATTTAACCTGATCTTCAACTACCGTATGCAGTTGTTAAGTGGACCCTAAACCGAACGTCTACGTTCCTCAACAGGGCTTATATTGAACGGTCACTAATGTCATATTTTAGTCTGGTCGCGTCTAACCATTTTCCAGCCTGAACCTGATTCAGACAACACTGAGTAGAGGGAGCAGACGTTGAATAAGCAAGTGTAACACATGTTTCGAACTCCGATCGGTGATCATTAGGACGAAAATGCTTGTGTATTCATCAAAGAGATAAAATAAAATCTTCGCTTTCTAAACAGGGTGATTAAGTGCAATCAATTTCTTGGCAACTCTAGGCACAGTTTCGAGAAATCGTATTGTTTCCCAAGATAATCACCAATAATTGAATGCGATGTAGGCGGTTTCACAGCCCTATTATTGCTTTCGATCAAAAGATGACAGAGTTCAATGTGGTTTCCTTTTTAAAATTTGGGAGGAAATCTTCTTATCGGGGCAATCTTTCGCTAACCCCAACGTTTAGCAGTTTATATGAATGAATAATCTCCTAATTTGACTTGAGTAGAAATTCCTGCTATATCGCGAATTCACAGAAGTAGGAAATTATGGACCACTTAAGTTTCATCCAGTGGGTGAATCATTAACACCTCCATGAAACCTGAAGGTTTTGAGTTCTGTCTCTGGCGAGGTCGCGGGTGCGTACTGCTGAGGAGTCCCATACAAAGACGAAAAAGCTGTCTAGCGCCTACAAGTATTTTTATGGTTTTCCAACTGATGTCAGTCCATGACGAATATTACTATTATTGGTATTATAACTCTACTGGATATCGTTTGAATACTACTGAGTCTAAACTATTGTGACCATGTTACTGTACGAAGGAGTTGAAATAGTGGACAATATTTGTAGCTCGGGTGGATGGTCTTGGTTGCATTGTGTTCTCTGAGCTGGGTTGATTAATCAATTAAACATCCCAGCTCCGTGTACGCAAGAGTATTTATTTATTATTGTGTGGATAAGTTTGGTAGAGCTGTTCAGTGGAACTGCTTTCTTCGTGTGGCTTGAAGTTTACATAATACTATTACAATCTTTATACTTGATGTGTAATTCTGAATTACTAATTTTGGCGTATATTGGGTGTAAATATTTAGTTCCCAATTCGATCCTGAAAAATACCGCATGTTGATCTGCTTCACGTATACACCATGCCAAAATCTAACGCCTAGTGGATAAATAGCTAGCAAAAGTTCTAAATTATACTTCGGGCTGTTTTTCATATGTAGGTCATCTGGAAAGTTGAACATAAACATCAGTTTCAGTTAGTTAACCAAACGATGTCTTTTGACATAAAGCGTAACACTACAAATGTATGGAATCTGACATAAAAAACGCACCATACTTAGGTATCGCAAAATAATATTAAAAGAAAAAAAGAAACTCACATCATATTTACTCCAATCAATAGGTTCATGTATACCATCATTCTGGTACTTTTGATTATAAGTTGTGAAATCGACATGATTTAGCATCAGACCTAATCCTGGAGCCTTGGGTATATCCACCTAGACATACATAAACATAAGTAGGTCATAATGCGAAATTTATGCGAAATATTAAGCGGAACAAATATCATACGAATATCGTAGTGTTTGCGTTACTGTTACGATGTGGAGTTGTGAGAACAAACAATAATGAACGACTGAGAGTAAAGGGTTGTGGCGATTCAACTCAAATGATTCGCAACGGGAAATCAGAAGACTGATTAATTGACATCAGTTGGAGAAACATTGCAAACATGGGAGTATTGGAGAGCTGTTTCGTCCTAGTACGGGACTCCTCAGCAGTACACACCCATGACTCCGCCCATCAAGGACCGGACCCAGGATCTTCAGGTTCCATGGCCAGCACGTTACCATTGAGCCACCAGAGCAAGTGCTCCCAGATTTCCATCGTTCCTCCAATTGATGTCAGTCTATGATTAATACCTACTTTAAAAATTACTAAATCCCCACAAGCCCTCAAATTCAATTGAGTTTGTAGGGTCTCGAACTAAAGCGTTTACCAGTAAAAACTGACGCTATTTATTTACAGTAACCTTGAAAGACAAGGAATAACTAGTACATTCAAAGGGGTAGAAGTCTCAATCAGAACGCAAGCAGTTTGATATGAAATGTGACCCACATACGGGAAAAAGAGCTCGAAGAAAAACAGTTCAAAATGTAAAAATAGTAAATGCGAAATATAAGGAAATGAAGGAACCCCTAACAATTACTATTTCAAATTTCCTAATACAGAAACGCGCAAATCGCATACTGAAGAATGTCTTCCTAGTCAACGAATTCAAATCAGTGTCATCAAGCCAAAGAATGTACGTACAATCGGGAATCCGCAGGAATGGTTGTGTTCAAGAACCCGAATAGCATTGATACTACACATCGTTTATTCTTGAATCCATCAGTTTCTCGGAAAATTGTAGTGTCCAATCACGAGGTTCACAACTGTAAAATAGAAGCGTGCAACTGAACAACCAATTGCCATTATGAGTTATGTTTATCGGCCGATGGTTGTGAGTATACTAAAACTGTTTGAACTTTGGTATATATAGAGAGATATGATACCTTGGAAATCAAACACATCATCCATTTAGATAATTTCATAGTTACACAGCTCACTATACTTAAATTTTATTGATCAAGTTGATTTCTTGATGACTATCATAAGAGGATTTTTGCCCTTTATTATAAACTGAAATGACCAACGCGATTGAGATCAGTTTCAAAGGTTGCTACTAGATTTCACGAGTGTCTACCACATCACTGAAAATTTTCACCATGAGATGAAACTGTTTAAAACATCTTCGAACAGCTAGTAGGAAGACTGTGGACTAATTGACTTGGTGGTGGCTAGCAGTGGAATCCAGGATGCGCATTTCGTCCTATTTGGGAATCGTCAACTGGATATACCTGCACCCCAGTTCATGATGTTATTCCCACTGAGACTCGAGACTTGTACCCCTCAGTTCAAACGCCAAAGAATTATCCACTAGGCCTCTGAAGCACGAGACACGAAGTGGGGTACAACAATTTATTCAGGTCGATGGTAGGATGGGTGACTTGTCATTTTATCGAAGTGATGTAATTAGGAAGAATGCCCATACAACTTTCTGATGGTGACCTCAGTCGGAGGATTGTTTAGTTGTTCGGGTACTAATATAAATTCATGGTACGCATCCTCAGCATTTATGCTCGAAGGACAATAAAACAACTAGTGAGATTCAATTGGGAAATCATGGAGTGATTTTATATCTGTATTTTCCTATTTTTATTCCGGGTCGAATTAATCGATCACCGTTGACATATAGTACTCCTATGTTGCCTGGTGGTGCTTAAGGCAGTAGAATTTAGGATGCGCATTTCCACCGATTCGGGACTTGCTATCTGGGTGTGTCCCAGTGAGTACCCGAATGGGTAACCGTTCGGTGTTTGAAGCAATGGGTGCTGGCTTTGATTCTCAGTGCAAACAACACTACTTACTGGAATTCAGGTACATCCAGCTGAAGAGTCTTAAACAGGACGAAATGTGCGTATTGGTTTCCATTGCTAGCCATTATTCATCACCAATAACAATAGCATGACTTGTATCCACTAATAAATATCAGTCAGATCATATTTTGCAGTCTGAATATTTTCAGTCACAGTATCAATATTGAAATTCCCCAAATGAGAGGAGAAAAACAAATTTTTGAACCACTGTTTCGATTCCATTTCCTAAGTAGCTAATTGCAACTGGGATGTAATAAAAAACTCAATTATCAAAGCTAGTGAACACTGAACTTATATTGGACAAGCATCTTTCAGGAGTTTACAACAACCTCGCCAACCGGGTAAACATTGCTCATTACTGTCAGTGATTCCGGATATGCATTCAGTGAGTAGTATGCATCGTGCGATTATTCAATCTCGTTAACCTGTCATGCTTGATATGAGTGCAGATACGCAGTAATGTCCCTCTGAAATATGTATGACTAAAATGAAGTGAAAACCTAGTCAACGCCTTGACCAAGTAGTTGTCAGTCGGTAGATGACTGGACTAGTAACTTGAAGGCCGCTGACTCGAACGCTCTTGTGATCCAGTATCAACAACATTACTATAGTTATCTCATACAGTCACATCAATATATATGGGAAAAGATGAACAGAAAATCGGAAATAAATCTAATTCTTACTCTTTCATTTTGAAATGCTATATCAAATACATCCTCTTGAGCATAACCACGAAGGACAGCTAACACTAAACCAATCATTTTACGTATTTGATGCAGCATAAATGATTGACCAGTTATACGGATAAGCGTATACTCATGATCACCGAGAAGAAATACTGGCATACATTCAGCTGACATAATATATCGATAACAACTTTTATCTGTTGAAAGTCTAGAATAATGAAGTTTTGAAAAAGACAATGTATATTGAATACTGCATGCAGTGAAAATGGAGAAAAACTGGAAAAACCTTGAACATCCTCATCCATCCATCTATCCAGGTCAACATACGACCGGGTATTACTGAGTAACGGTCCAAGTTGCCATACCTCATATCACTACATCAAGTAGAAAGGTAGTGAGGTGAAAGATGAAGATGAAAAAATTCAGTCAAAAGAAATATAAAGTACGGAGAGAGAGAGAGAGAGAGAGAAAGGAAGAATGAGAAAGTGGTGAGATTCGGTATAGCATCGTTAAGATGAGGATAATGTGTGTTACATCTGCACCACTGACATCGGTTCTGAGCCATATCACCTAGAGTCTCCAGCCACTGGTTCCTCTTGTCCCACGGACCCCAACCATCTAGTCTGCATCGCCCTGCATGTCTCAAACCAAGTCAGAGACTTCATGCATTGGTGCCATGTTTTAGTTTGGCCTCCTCAGGCCTTTTTCCAGCCTGGACCTACTTCAGCCAACACTGTGTGACGAGGCAATCGGTGACTAGGCATATATAGTACGTGTCCAAACCATCTCAGTCGACGAAGGTTCATAACCTCGTCAACTGGTTTACCTCTACTCCCTAAAAGTCTATACCTGACTTCTGGGTTTCTCACGTGGAGACACCATGGAATACGGCTTATACTACGAAGGCGACGGTGGTCAAACACTTGAAGCCTTCTCATATCTTCCACGTTGAATGGCCATGTTTCACAGCCATACAGTAGGAGAGAGAGAGAGAGAGAGAGAGAGAGAGAGAGGACTGTTGTGCAGTACACGCGACCATTAATAGCCAAAGGGATATCACGGCGGCGCCACAGGTGGAGTAAGTTGGTAAAAGTCAATCGAGCCTTTTTATTCATGCAGAGATTTTGTCGCCCTCTAAGCCACCAGCGCTAATCCTACTCCTCAGGCAAATGAAGTGTTCAACGCACGCAACCATTTCACTCTCTAGTGTTAGCCAGGGTACCGCTGAAGACCAGTTCTGGAGGAACAATTTGCATTTTAGAGGCGAAAAATGAATTCCAAATTGCCGTTCAGTGTGTCCAGAAGACTGTATCCTGTCAGCGTATTTACCGAACAGGACTACGTCATCTGCATATTCTAGGTCTAACGAAAATTCTGCCACAACTAGGTTAACCTCTGTGTAATCAGGTGACGAGAGAGAGACATCCATAAGAATATCTCTGATAAAACTGAATAAGAGAGTGGGCGCTCCTGACGGACAGCACTCGACAAGCACAGCTTTTCGGCCATCCTTAACATCTTACTGACCGCATTTTCATAGTTTCTCCTACGATTTCGTTTATCATCGACAACTGTTCTAATGGCTTGAAAAGCTTTCTTCACTGAAAGTGCTTTGATTACATGCCATTCGTCCATCAGAACATGTCAATAGAACACCAGAACACTACTGACTCTAAACTCAATGAAGTTTCTGTGATGAACATGTGAATAACTGTAAGGTAAGATGGGAATTACTTGCTAATGTGAAATGCGGAACATTTATAAAGAATACAAATCTACGTTCCTTCATAGTTTAATAACTACTAGAAAATATCACAAAAAGGTTGAAATTCACTCAGCAACCACGTCCACGTTCGAACAGTAGGCAATGAACCGCACCTATTATTATGGAGGGTTAATGATACTATCTGACTGACTAAACCTCGGTAGATGGTCCGGAGTTCAAATCCATGACCCACGAGGTTGAAAGTCGAGTTTCTAGACTAGTGAATCACAGCTCCACATGGAGGGCATACTGAATTTAGTGCTGACGATACCGTCTACAAAGACGACGAAAGCTCCACGGCCAAACAACTCAGCTCAGAGAACACAACACAACCAAGACCATCCACCTGAGCTACAAATATTCTCCACTATTTCTAAATCCCAAGCCGGATTCTTGATAATAGACAGTTTGAAGGCAATCAATCTGCTATCAATTGACAAGGTAAAAAGCTTAACACATACCAAAACTTCAGACTGGACTCCTAATTAAGCCAGAGGGTAGGTAAGAACTAATGTGTCAGCTAGGTCATAAACATGAAATCGTACTAATAAGTTATTACACACCCTTTCATTTCGGTGGAGTATAGCCGTATACGCAACCGAGGGAAATGTACAATACCTTCTACCATAAAGATGTAAATGTTCAGATACTCACACACTCAACGATCTTGTGTACGACTATGCAGTAGCCAGAGTCCTATCCATTGTGTGACGGCTAGTAATACTACCTGGCTGACCAAAACCTTGTCAGGTGGGGTGCTGTTCGAATCCGTCAGCTCTGTAAACTAATAAGCCACAGCTCCATAAATTATCAAGATTAACTAGAAAAATCCATCGACATAAGCTTAAGTTGTAACAGGGCTCCTAAAGTAAAGTATAACATTAACATGAATATTTGTCGACAAATGAAAACAATACTTCATTCAAAAAGATCCTCTTTAGACAATCAAACAAATACATGAAGGTATACGTGATAAATTAGAAGTGAACAAATTGTAAGAAGGGGGCATCACTTGACTTAAATTGATTCTAGTTTCAAAGTCTGTATACATAAGGTGGACATTTAATAATGTTGGAAGGCATTTCGACTCAGCGGTTAACATAATCTAAATTTTAACCATTGAGTAAAAAAAATACCAATCTAACTTATTCTCTTACTGTCCTGACAGTGGTAGTAATATAAGAAACCACAAGATGATGAAATATTGAACACTTTGCATTAAAATAGTCATTTGCACAATGCGTTTCACTTTCTCTTCTGCTTCTAGCACGACTTCCTTTTGATAAGATCAGATTGTCTCTTGCGTTCCTCTGGGAAGAATATTTACCCATCGCTGGTAATTGCCTATGATTTCTGTCGACCTCTCAACATATACTACTTATATCCATTCTTATCAATAGCACTCACTACAGTAGTAGTATGCCTTGCAATTAACCTGTAAGTATGACACAGTGATTATCTTTAGGTTTATTAATTAGGCAGTAAGGCGTGACGATATTGCTAGAGTAGGCTGACTGGAAATGTTAAAACACTTTGAACTTATACTTCAAAGGATGTGAATAAACTCTCCAGATTTATTTTGTAAGTTACTCTATCCTACAGATATTGAGAAAAAATGGAACCTAGACAACTACTCTGAAGTAAGCTTAACAAAATATACATTTCTCGTATCAGAGGTGTATGATAAATTACATAGACAGTTAAATAAGTGAGTAATATCGAGGAAAAATGTTTCAGAAAACTTATTAGAAAGCAAAAGCTAAATTACCTTCCAGAAGTGAAATTATAAAAATTATGAGTTCCTTTATATCTAGCAAGCAAATTATTAGCTTGAACAACTTGATCAGCTGACAAACGGTAGACCCAACAGGTAGAATCATTGGACGATACACTACTAGGTGATAAGCAAATGTCGGCAATAAGTAATCGTAGACTCGATGACTACACGAACCTTGGGCAGAGAAACAACGGGTTACTCGAATGATATCTGGGAGGAAGAAGAAAAAGAAAAAGCCAAACGACAAATACATCAGTTGAGCACACAAAAAACATAAGCTCAGTGTTCGGGTACGACATGTTCACTCGTAATAGGCAGTCCGGTATCAGGTTGAATGTTCAGCCTAACTGTTATGCACTAAACTATCCATAGTGAGTAGAACGAAGCTATTTAGAGATGGTCGTATCCTAATTTAACACACCTATAAATGTTGATCACAGCCTCGAGACTAAACACAATTTAAACATCAAATTATATCATACAACAGTAGCAGTATGTTAATTGGCCACTGGACGGTAACCAACTTTATTTTGTTTAGTGTTGATCAAATTCTATCGATCATTTCGCAATGTGACCACCAGGCTAGGCGACTCAGCATCTCAATGGACTTTGATAGTGCACGAAGAATATGCCTAACTTAGTCCTACACAAGGTCAATTGCGGCCCGAATAACTCAGTAGTAACGTCTTTGGCTGCAGCACTGGATGATGCAGATTCGAATCTCAAGTGTGATATAAGTTCTTAGAGGTTGGAGACACGTCTTCCCGACGAGTGCCAAGAAGGGAGAAACCTAACTTCAATGTTTCCTGTCAATAGCCTCTATTCAACTAACAGATAAATGTGATAAGTTTTAAGTGACGAATTAATTTCACCAAACTCCCAAACACAAATTGACGATGAATATCGAGAACAAAATTTCGGGATAACACACAAAGAGTAATGTGGTAGTAATTTGTTGTATCCCTGTGATGCAGAATAATTTTTAAAAACTGAGAAAATGACTGGGATATTTTCAGTTATCGTTCGGTACCAAAACATGTTTTACAGATAAATCATCACCAACAAGTATTACCTAGATTGAGAACTATGTGAATGTTAACTGACCACATAAGTGGATGCCAGTAATTAAGTTCAACAGACACTACACTTAGACTGTACACTAACATCACAAGACAATATCCTACACAAGTACTGACAAATAAAGAATTTTCAGCAACGTAACTCACTGCAGATCATGGCAATTGATTCGATCAACTGATATTTTGATATCTGTCAGTCAAGTTGAGGGCTCAAAAGTTTAGGAGAAGGAATTTAACTGAAGCATTGAAATTTCAAATTCTTCTTTGCCTACGAATGTTTGGGGAGTCAGGAATCCCAGTATTGCGGTTAATTAACCTAGTATGTAAATCTAGATGTCTTCAGCGGAATATATGTTTTAAACCTCTCACTAAAACATAAGCACGCCATAAAGTCACGTAGGAAAAGCGTATTTGATTGTGTGCTACCTTTAGTATAGAGTGCGATATCAGCATGATAATCGACTTTCAATGTGTAGAGGTTTTAGAGAAAGGAGCCATGAAGCCACAGAGAAAATATATAGTAAGAGCAAAGAATCGACAGAAACCAGGGGACAGTTATTTTCGGAAGTAAAATACAGGTATGATTACATAAACTATGTCGGATGGAAGATTGTAATATCTCATCCTTACTCATTGTGATGTCCTAATAAACATTTCAATTTATACACTGATTCATCACCGGAAAACAACCAATTTCATATTATCTAGCACTGAGTGCTGATTAAACTTTATGGATCATTTCGTAATGAGACCACCAAGCTGGGCTCACCATCACGGTGGCCCTTGGATTGACGTTAGTTGGTCGAAGGCGATTGACAGGAAGCTCTGGACCTAGGTTTCGTACCTGATTAGCTTAGTGGTAACGCCTCTGACCGGATAACACGGATTCGAATCTCAGAGGACACATCAGTTCCCTTAAGGTTGCAGATAAGGATTAGTGACGAATCTCGAAAAGCCCGAAACCCAGGTCCGGGGCTTTCTGCCGATTTCCCCCAACCAACTAACATCCATCCAAGTGCATCTGGATAGGGAGTCTTCACCCTGGGTGGCCACACCGCAAGACGATCGATCGAATTTGGTCAACAAGTGGGACCAGACAATATGAAGTTAGTTGCTCAGCTGTGATCCATCTATGTAATCCAGGAGGAGGTTAATTGTAGTCCGAATAGATCAGTGATAACGGCGTTGACTACGAAATTAAGTGACCCAGTTTCCACCTATCCTTACTAATCTTTATTACTACAATCGTTCAATTACCAAGTCCTGAACTCAGCTGTACGAACAGCTGAACTACAAACAATGTCCATCATGTTTAAACGCAAACGACTTAATACAATCTAGACGACTGTGTATTATTCTTCGTTTTTAAACTCGTAAGTGAGCTGAACTTTACGTATTTCATCAGTTAGCTTTTGGAGATCTGATTAGAATTAGTATCTGGTTTCCAAACTCCATGACCATGCATGAAAAAATGAAGAATAAATTATTCAAGTATAGGAACTTACCAAGAATACGAATACTTTCCGGCAGAGCAGTATTTAATTTATTCAGCAAATCATCATCTCCTTTTAACTTTATATTGATAAAATATGGGTAAGGACTTACTTGAATTGAACAAACTTGTCCAAGGGCAGAAACAGATTTGTCAGTTTTAGAAGCACGTTGGAAGTGAACCTAAATAAGGGGACAACATTTAATGAGTGAAATACGTTTTCGAATTTTCGCTTAAGTACGTGTAGGACTAGTATGATTACTTTGCGGGCGATACAATTGTAAACAAATCACAAATGATGTGCACGTAAAACCTTGGATTTCACTTGCAACTAAACACTTTTACTATGTAGCAACTCAGTCCACAAATTTATTCCCCTCATAATCCGAAACACTGATATAAACATTATGTATGAAGGTCCAAGTTACCACACATATAAGCACACCAAGCAACAAAGCAATAAATATAGTTTATACTTGTGTAAGGTACGGTATATCTGAAATAACATAGAATGGAAAGCACGCAGGTACCTTGTGCAATAGGCAATGAGCCACACCTATTGTGTGAGGACTAGTGATACTACCCTGATACCCAAACCTCGGAAGGTAGAGCGAGGCTCGAACTTGTGACCCAATGGTTAGCAGACATCTCGCTAAACCACTGAGCGACAACTGAAAGCAGTAAAGAAGCAATGAGAAATGCTGGATTCAGTATAGAGGTTAAGATAAAGATAATGTTTAGATACATCTGCGCCACTGACATTGATTCTCAGTCATATCGCCAACAGTCTCTAACCACTGGTTTCTGCTGGCACGTGAGGCCTAACCAGCCAGTCTGTATTCCCCATCATGGCTCAATCCAACAGTCAATGACTTAAGAGACTAGGAGTATGTTTTGGTCTGACCGTCCGGACTGTTTTTCCTGTCTAGACGCACTTCACTCAACATTGCGCGATGAAGTAGACGGCGATTAGGCATGCGTAAAGTATGTCTTAGTCATCTTAGTCGATGAAAGTTCACAGCTGCATCAACTGACTTTCTCCTGCTCCCTAAAACTCTACACCTGACTTCAGCGTTACTGACATGGTGACGCCACAACACACGGCTTATGCTGCGTAGGCAACGGTGATCAAACACTCGAAGTCTTCTCGTGTCCTCTACTTTTAATGATCATGTCTCAGTCAAACAGTAGAACAGAATGAACTGCAGTGCAGTACACTCAACGCTTAATAGGTAGTCAGATATCAGGGTCACGGCGCAGATGGATCAAGGTGGCAAAACCAGTCAAGCTCTTTGTATCCATGCACAGATTTAGACGGCCACCAGGGCTGATCCGACTTCCTAAGTGAATGAAGAGTTTAACAAACTCAACCACTTCACTCGCTCATGTTAACCACGGCAGTGCAGAAGACCAATTCTGGAGCGACAATTTATATTTGGTTGGCGAGAAACGTATCTCAAACATTCTCAAATTGCCACTCAAGATCTCCAGAAAGCTCAGTCTCTTGTCAGCATCTTCAGGTAACAAGAGTCATTTGCATGTTCTAGATCTACCAAGGATTCTCCTGCGATTAGAAGTCAGACGACGAGATGGAGACCTTCATAGGAATGTCTTTGATAGAATTGGATAGGAATGGAGAGAGTAGCCATCCTTAACGGGAACCATTCGATGTACGCAGCTCACCCGACAACTCACCATAGACTCTAATATATGTATACACACACAGTGACATTGACGATAATGATACACAGGGAAGACTTTCTTTCCATGCATTAAAAAGAATCCGTACACGTTTATCTACAGGACAAGTAGGAAATAGCTGAACAGGAAACAAAAAGATAAGACTTTTTTTTTGGAAGTTGTTTATGATTTAGCTAACTTTGTAGCTGGTGGCTGTTTATTTTACTTAGGGTCAGTAGCTACTGGCTGCCCCTATGTTAAGCAGACAGCTGACTGCTTGAGCTGAGTTGTGGAGAACACGTTCTTTGTACACCATAGATTTAATGACTACCTTCTCCATACTACGGTGCACTTAATATCGAGATTAATATACGCGATGCGCCATATATTTTCCAAGTGTGAAGTGATTTGATAACATTTACAAGTTAATTGTCACTGCATTCAACTTCGCTAGTGAATCATTTGACAAAATATGTGCACGTGGGTTTTTGAGCAAGTGCCAGTAAAGAACACGAAGAAATTGATCTTCACATAACAAAAGTTAAGCAATAAATGCCAATTTCAGTAATATATATATTAGGGAATTGGAATTAGTTTGCAGGTAGGATGCATCTATGCCTCAATTTTTCTGTACAGCTTCAAAATCTTAGGTCAGAAAGCTGGTTATCCGTGATCTAACTTTGTGTTTGTTTACATGTTTCGTAAGATCGCTCCGATTTGATCAATAGACTATGAGCGTGATTCTCAGGTTCTGCTGCTTGTCTCAGTGCGGTCTAAATTTGCCAAACAGTGAGTCATTGTGATAAATTCATAAGCCTGAGCATTTTTTTCATATATGCTAATGAAACTCTCTTACAAGGAATACTGTTATGGCTGAAACTGGTTGGAAATAATGACAGTTGATTGAGATGTGAGACGGTGGGGTTGAGGGACCGGCTTGATAAACTGATATTCGTTCGTTGGTCCCAACTGACAAAAGGGGATTTTAAAGAATATATGACTAATTGGTTCGAAAAATAATCATATATACTGTAAGAAAAAATTAACATGTAGGTATGCCACAATTTTACTTTACCATCTAAACGACATTATCAAAATGAGGTCCGGCATTACCGCGTAACTACCCAATTTGTAACGTAAGAACACCAGCGTAAGAAGTACAAAAAGGGAAGATGAAGTAAAAAATGGTGTAGTCATCCGGAACAGAAATAAACGTGCAAAAAGGTATGAGCTTCTTCAAGATACATAAGACCGCTTATTTATCTCATGTAGATGTATGCTATTAGCTATCTTTCTCCACTGTAACTTCATAATGCCCCCATATTACTTTGCAATGGTAAGCATATACACCAAACTGAGGTCAATATTTGTTACTAACACTAAGAATTTCATCGGTGGAGACCAATATTCGAACACTACTATTGAGATGTAACATAAGCCTAGTGAGAAAGCCAGTTTTATTACAATTTCAGAAATTTAGAGTCGGTTACTCAAGTTGTTAAGTGTTCTAAAAATGACACAGAGGTATTACAAAGAAGAAATAAGTGATAGGAACCTGGAAGTATTGGAAACATTGTAGTGATAAATTTCGATCAGTCAAGGCACAGTAAGCAGGATATATCTATGGATAAAAGGTTATCATTTTGTTGGTGCCATCGCAACTTGACAAAGCGTCTAGGCATTAAACGAATGTCCAAGATGGTGATTGAAAACCGATATTCAGTTAGAACAAGTATCCTTAAGAACGATATACACTTGATCTTACCTAGCGTGGCCGAAAGAAATAATAAATACATAAAAATGATTTAGAGGTAGACAATATTTTCAAACCAAAACGCTTATCAGCTTACTTTTTTATGTTCTTCACCGGTCACATTGCTAAGCTGACCACAAGCAAAAAGAGCTTTTGACAGTTCACCTTCAATAGTTGGGAAAACTGGGCATCTAGATGTATTTTGAAAAGTGGGGGGAGAGATGATAAAATACTAGATAAGCACCGAAAGAAATAACTCTGAATGAAGAGGGTAAAGGAAAAATAAAGACTGAGAAAACAAAAACTAATTATTGATGATCACAATATGCAAATCTATAAAACTTTAGGAATTCAGTACGCTTAGTCTCACTAGTTTTTGGGATACAGATACCTTGCGTAAGTCACGGGGAACTGACAAAATATTGATTATTATTTGACATTTGGAGTGTAAGTCACACAAAGAGACTAAATTACGGTCAAATAAATGAAATAAACAGAAACAGTAATATAAAGCAATGGAAATTATTAAGTTATTTATTATTCATGTGGAATACAAATGAGTTATACAGCATAACCGCCTGGATGTTTTCTGAAAAGCTAACGACCGATGATAAAAAACCGGGTTTCTTCATTATGGATGCTATAAACTACCAGGGAAGACCATCCGTAATTCTGCCCTACATCATGTTGAAGGGAGTAGGTTTTTGATGAGGGAATAGTATAGTTTTGCGGTCAATCATTTCTCTTTGATTAATCTTCCTATCCCAAGAGATTTAGCGGTAGCGATTGACAGCAACGATATCGTACTTATTGGTTTCAGTAAGGAACTTGGTGAGAATTCTTACGTAGGATTGTTGGAGGTTGGGAAGTCTGGGATCGACAACGAAGTGAGGGACTGCATTCAAGAATATTTTACAGACAGGATATAAAGAGAAAGGATTAACAGAGTTTTCTTTTCCTGGCGTCCAGAATAAAAATAAGTTAAGGTACTATTCTAGAGCGTCTTTATAATGCTGAGTCCATGAAATACTATCAGAGGTCAATTCATCTTGTCTTATGTTTTCAGATGACGTAGAACTCCGGAAAACTAGATGACGATAGTGAAAAGTTAACTCGACAAAAAGACAAACAGTATAACGATCCAGTGAGTGGACACTAGAAATTATTGAAAGAGTGTAGTTAGGATGTAGTCATAACAATCTGCATCAATATCATGTTAGTAACTTGCCATTGTCAAAGGTTTCTGATTAAAACGACTAAGGAAATGCCTTAATTCGTGACTATCAGACTGAAGCAAACTGTAGGCTAGTTGTAGCTTAGGGCTTTCGTCTTAACGCCCTAGAATGCTAAGTATTTACTTAGGATATCCCATACAACGTGTGTTTGACGTCATTTGGAAAACTGGACATACGCTAAAACCACGTTTAAAAATATTCAGTAAATATACTAGGACACGTTCCGATAGGAGGGACTAAAGTTGTTAGATGACTTTAAAACCCATCGTATGAGTAACTATCAACTACACTTGTTCGTTTGAATTATCGGCAGTTAAGAGGATGTATAAAGCCAGCATTAGAAATGACTTCAGCTAACTAATTACTACTAACTAGTACTTGATTCAATCGATGCTTACTGCTCGCATACTTCGCAGAGCCATGAACGTGCCTGGTTGCAAAATGATCCATTGATTAGTTCAAAGCAATATTAGACGTCTGTGATAAGTTTTAGCTCGAAAACTGTTATAGGACTTGGTCATGCTACCTTTATCTCTCCATACTGAAAATTTTCAAGGGGCATACAGTGAACGACAATCCAATCGAACAGGACTGCACAAATAATGCTAGCGAATGTGGAAACAAGCCAGGTTGACACATTGATCACAAAAGCAGCAATAATACTTAGTTGCGAGATATAAACGGATATCATAGACTACCCACACAATTTACAGACTTCCAGCATAATTTACGCTTGTGTAACTTCAGCTTTCATCTGGCTTTCCTCAAGCAAATTTTCGGATGTTTTCCGCACTGCGCGCCTTATTTCCTCACTACCCGATTTATTAAAGAACAATTTCTCCACTATTTACGCACTACGTGCTTCATTGACGGACATTGGTCTTGAGACCAAATAAAATGGTTGCAGCACACTTACTGGCGAACCAATTATGACGAAATGCATTTGAAAACACAATTTGAAGGAAGAAATATAAAGACAATGTAATAAACAACAAACCAACCTTTGCATGCCGTAAAACCCCCAGCCAGAATACATCATTAAAACAGCACACTTCTTTCGCCGCAGTCTAGCACTACTTTCATCCACACAAAAAACTGAATCGTCAGTTTTCGTTTCAGATGGTAAAGCCTTTTTAAGTGTGGTGACCTCAGTAGACTGTAGAATTGACATAACAGTACGAAGAGCTTTACTGAATAATTTGTACAATCCACTCATGAACACTCTCTGCTAACCGGTCTCAATCTCTTAATCCCAGTTCTTTCTCTCTTTTATCTTTAAAAACAAGTGCCTTTGCGAACTCTTCTCGTTGTCTTTTGACTGCAGGGCGCTTGTATATAAAATAACTCGTCAGTGAAATGACTGTGAAGCCAGTAAGCGCAACACCAAAAAGGAGACAAGTAGTTACAATGCCGACGTGAGCAATATCGAGTGCACGTTTCAAGCGACTTCTCCGATAAACCTGTTTCTGCATACTATGAAAACGCTGACCATGCAGTGCCGTTTGAAGTGTATTTCGCGCTTTTCAACAATGACATCCAGCATTGAGGGTGCAAGCATAAAAAGATGATAGTTTCTGGTCCTCCACGTCCAGCTCTTAGGGCTTGGTTCTAGTTTTTCCGTTCGCTTTAGCCGTTGACAAGGAAATCTTTACCGCTTCCTTGCTTTCAGCTTCGGTGGTACGACTTTTTGGAGGTTAGTAAATTAAAATTTGTGGAATGGTCATGGAGCTACGAGTTGTTTGGACGATCAGGAAACTATCGTTACTCCTGTCTATAAAAGTGCCTGAGTAAGAGCGTCGAGATATTGAGAAAAAGTGTGTGAGAATTACCCGGTTGGTAAAAGTATCCAGCACAGGTTTAGTTGCCTGGGAAGAGTCTCTGGATAATGTAGGTTTATCAGGAAGAGAGGTTGTAAGTGGTGAGTAGAAGGTAAGTGATAGTCAGACAGCTAGGTTAGCAACTTCGTAAGTATATCTGCGGCATGCCATGAGAAATGACATGACTGTGAACCGTCTTTTGAATGAGTCTATCAAAGAGGCTGTGACTACATCTCGTGGTAAGGCATTCCACAAACCACATGCCCTCAAGGAGAAAAAGTTGAACCTGAGCATGGCGCTAGCTCACTGAAGTGCTATTTCTCGCGATAACTGCTGTGTCGTAGGCAAAGCTAGTTTGTTTACTCGACATGCTCGATGGATTAACTTGTAGGCCAGTGTAAGGTCACTCCTCTTTCTGCGACGGCCCAAAGTGAATGTGTTTAGGCGGTTAAGTCTTTCAGAGTATGCCTTCGTCTCTAGTTCCCCAGCTAATTTTGTCACAGATCTTCGGATTTTTTCCAAGGAAATTAGGGTCTCTCTTGAGTGTTCAGGATGCAGCAACATTAGAGACCTCCAGGTGCGGCTGTAAGTAGGATGTGAAGAACAGTCTGTGGGTGAGTGCACCAAGCTGTCTACACAGAAAAGGCTAAGTGCCGTCCGCTGTTGCTCCCATTTCTCTATAATTGGAGCTGGTGATCAAAGTGTCGGAGAAGTTTAGCCCAAATCCTTCTCCGCGGATGCTCCAGTGATAAAAGTTGGCCGCCCTTGCTTCATAAGTACCGATAAGCGTGACTTTGCACCTTTCAAGGTTGAAGCGCAAGCCATTTTACGGCAAAGTCGGAAAAATACCACGTACTGTTGTCCCAGCTATGTGTCTAGCGGTTTCAAGCGGTAGCAAGTCGGTGGCACGTGAACGAGGACTCCAAAAGCCGTGATGAGGAGTATGAACGGTCTTTTCCCTGTTAAGGAATTCCCAGACCTCCTTGGCTGTCGGGCTGTCTAATACTTTTTGTAGTAAGGGGAATAAGGCGATTGGTCTCCATCAGTCTCCAGTAAAATGGACCATAAGCCATTGGCCTGTTTTGATCCAAGCAGTAATTGCCTTTGTAAAGAACAAGCTACTTCTTCCAAGCGATTACCGGAAAGGTTTCTATCACTTGTTTCGATGACGAGCTCCAGGCAATGATCACTATGGAAGTTTCAGAGCTCCACTCCAACAGCCAACATTCAACAGTGTGAGCAGAGGAGACTCGTGGCTCTTTAACTCCCGGTTTTAGGCCCTGAGACTCCGTTCCTTGTGTTCACCTATACTCCTTCGGTGGTTGCGGAAGTCGTTTTCGGTTAACTGCTCCGTGGGACGACCTCAAAACACTCGAGGACTGGGAGAAAAATAACAAATTGGTATTTAACCCCGCATAAATGCAAGTCCATGTTTTTCCGCACTTCTGATCCACAGGAAATGTCCTGCCTCTGCGGTTCACATCCTTACCATACCGCAGCACAGAAACTGGACACCAGCTCCAGTTGCCTAGGGGATGCCTCAAGAGGCTGTGGTGCACTGCACTCCGTGTGCGGACGGCCATGCATCCCAGCCCCGGGGCTCTTTTCAAAACTCTACAAAATATACATACGGCCCAACTAGGAGGTTAATAACGTCTTCGTTCCACCACACCTGAAAAGAGGCACGAATTTCTTGTAGAAAGCTAGGAGGCGAGTTACAAGGGGTGTTGTAGGGATGCAACAGAAGCCACATGAGGATTGGTCAAAAAACCTATGTCTACACTATCTTGGTTACCGAAGGTTATGTGGTGATTTGATGTGACCCGTAAATACTAAATAATCCGTCACCCGTACAGCGGAATACTACCAAGTGGCCACTATGGTGATCCTCGTAGAAACCCTAAGAGAATTGCCAGTCAAATATCAGAAACTCGTTTGCATTCACACTTCTCCCATCGAGTCCGTGGGCGCTTCAATGCACTACCAGGAGGTGTAGTTTCCGCTCATCTGTTGATGGCCTTAAGCAGAAGCAAGGTAGTTACACAGCGACCTACGATTCACGCACGTTTAGTTGGGACACAAAGTAGGCCAAGGAAATCAACCGCTATCACACCATCCAAACACTGTTATCTTTGTCGCGCCACACACTCCTCCAGAATCAATAGCTTATGGTTTGGTGGGATCCAAAACTGATGCTGACCTTGATAGTTTTATAGGACTTGCTAAGCTGAAGGCACTCGGTCAAGCATCCAGGCCATTTGGCACGTTTTTGTGTTACGCTGCACTGCTCGTAATCAATCTTCTAGCCAGTTAGTTGGAACGCCCTGGTCTCTTGAAACAACCTCGCAAATGTACTATTCTATCGGACCACGCTATTGTATTCCTTCTTGGTCTCGTATTCTTGGGTTTATAACTGTGATTGGCCTCTGTGTCTGTCAAGTTCGCGCCAGGACAATCTCTAAACCTCTACACCAGTTCTTTCCTTGTTCCAACCACTTAAATCCTTCCCATCCCTCCTAATCACTATAGTTTAACCTCACCCAACTAAGTTCCATACATCTTTGCGCCCCTCTAACCTTACTTGGGTGTACGTGGATTATTCCATCACTTGACTTTTCCTTGTCGTTTTCCCACACACATTTGTCTTGCTAGGCAATCTCTTTACTATCCCCAACTCTTTCTAAGGATCAGTCCAGACAACCGCCTGGCAGACGAGAGGCTGGATCTGCTGCGTCGGAAGCCGCTGAAGATCTGGAACCGTCTTGCAAGACGAAGAAGCGAGCACGAAGAAATCAGCCGGTTTATAAAAGCTAGTTAAGCAGAGACCGGGTGCTGGGCATTGAAGTAGGCCGGGTGATACACACAGATACGTGGTTTATCTTCTGTTCAACACACAATGCATGTGAGCCATTCGTCCTCTGAAAACATGTTATCTCTTTTCAACTCTACGTTCTCTAGGAACTAACACACGCACGCACCATGTGGCCTTGTTTATTTGAACACTATGCAACACATCTATATGTATCTATATATAGAGTCGGAAAACCGGCGAGAACCAAAATGCTTCCAAAAAACATGGAAATAAGTAAAGCCGAAGTCGTGTACTACTAACAAAATCCCCTCCACCATTTTACTTGCGTATAAACACCCTACCATTTCCTCAATCATAACTTTCCACACATTGATCCCCACTTTCGTCGCTTTCCCATCACATATCAACTTTTCTGTTTCGAATGTTGCCTAGTTTATGATTACTGATGTAACTTTAAGTCCCTAAAATGGTCGCCAGTTGGGAGAGGACGAATGGTTGTCTGATTTTCTTAGTGGATTGTTTACGTACCTAGTCTCTTTACCACAAAGAGAAAAAAAGTCCAAACATTTACACTGACAAAAGCTAAAAGAACAAAAGTGGAATGTATTTGCGTGATTAGGGAATGAGTAAACAGAGAAATTGGCCTCGAGGTGAAAAATGCGAGACTTTGAAAAGTGGTAGTTTGTTCCGATCACCTAGAAAATATATTGGCGCGCTCCTCGAATAGCGGCTCGTCTCTCAGCTTTTGAATTTTTCCACATCGAAAAACTCTCACCTGCAGTGCCCAATCTAACAAGACTGAATATTTGTAGCACTTCTGTCCCTGCACGCACTTCACCGCTGCGTATTCATCAGCTCACTTCTCAACAGTCGAAAATTGGCACTATTATTCCTTTGAACCAACTGGTGGTTCTTGGGCGTTCCAACTGCCAAACTGCCTTAGCTCTCAGTTCTCTCCGGAGGTCATTCCCCAGTAAATATTTTTCCTAGCTATAGATACAAATCTGGAGCTTACGGTTAAACTCGTTGGTCAAAAGCAGAGGGGCAAGTGACAAGTGTCTGAAGGTGAGCCAACATAAATTGTCTTCCTTTATACATTCTGTCCTTTTACTGCACTCAGTCTTCAACCCTCTTACTGCCGTTGACTACTTTTTTCCCAAGAAGTTTATATCATAACGACATGTCTGCTCAAAACGCTAGATCCGAAGCTTTGACAAGGATAACGCGGTCGTGCACAAAAAGGGACAACAACACCCGAAACAACACATTAGTCCGTACTAGAAGACAAACGGAGGTAGGGCAGAACACCAAACTACTAAAGAAGTGGCCAACCCATGTTTCTAGAATTCCAGTGGCTATCAGACAGGTGACACAGAGTAGCACTAGCTCGTCACAAACTAGTCCTACCTTCAGCAAGGATCATACCATGCCCGAAAATAGAAGACGACGTAAAAGGCTTCAGAACAAGGCAGCCACAAGAGGTTCACCACAATCCGTAGCACGTTATTCATGGAACGAAGGTTGTATTACGACGCCCGATGGCTGCAGTGTTTGCACTAAAGTTGTTTCAGTAGTTGATGAGGCATTAACATGCAACCTATGTCACCGATTAGCGCATTGCCACTGCGACACCAAGGTCCCCCGACAATTCTATAAGCTAATGAAGAGGCGACCATGCAAGGGGTTCTGGTACATTTGTCCAGAGTGCAGAAAGATGCCCGCACTCCACGCAGAAAGCCTGAAAGAGATGCTCTCCGCCACACACAAGCTACCAGTATCCTCGAATGAAGTAGGGTTAACACTAAAGGATAACTCAGAGGGACCTGGAAACGGACCTACAGCTCCAGCTGCGGACACGCCACCCCGCATGGGAGCCACATTAGGTCAAGCCTCCGTAACCCCTACCTGGCCTCAGAGAACGCCAAGCGCATGGCCAAAGACACAGACCGCCGGACCCTCTACGAAAACCCACTCCAAACACCCCACACACCGTGACTGAGAAACAACCAGTGGAAATATTCAAACCCATCGGGAAGTCGTGTGTCCAACCCACAACGAACCCAGATCACAGGAAGGCTAACTCGATCATTTTGTTCAACGCCGATGTGTCGACAGACTCATTGATGATCGAGAGGGAACGGCTTGACAGCCGAATGTGGACCGACTACGGTCAGATGCTAAGACTCCCTCCCCCCTGTGACTTTTTGTCGCTCTTCTTGAGGAAGCCGGGCACCCCGAGATAAGCCACCCCTTTTGCGTGTGCCCCCAAATACTGCCAGGGAGGCCGAAGACATCCTCCTTCTCTCGCGACAGCCGGACGTTGTTGATGCCTGCAAAATTCGGGCCAGACCTTACAAGCCATGGTCAACGGGAGAGGAGAAGAGAAAGTCAGCGGTTGGAAATCCCAACAGAAACAACACTATAGTTGTACATGGGGTTCCGGAATTACCAAGTGATCGTTCGGTTAAAGATGGGTACTTTCACGACTTCTAACAACGGCATCGGCTCTCAACCAAAGTTGGTCTCGACAGTATACCGGCCAACGGCGTCAGTAGACTGCCAAGGCCAGCGCATCTGAAGTCCATACCCACTTCCAGACTACTCACCGTCCAGTTTGACCCATATGCCTTCCTCACAGGCGTTGTACACGCATGGTATAATGCGAAAGATCGCGTGGGTGGCTCAATGCTTATGTGTGAAAGTAAGCCTAGACCTACAAGGCAAGAAAAGAGACGGCAACCACCAAGACCCCTGGAGTCAGTGGTCATCAGACGGGCGCTGACCAGTGAGTCAGATACATCGAGCAAAGAAGCTCCCACTGCCACAGCCCCCACCCAAGTTGAAACAAAACACAAAAAAAGGAACAATGCCAGTCCTATGAGGACCGGCGAGGCTAGACCCAACCACGTAAGCGTTCATCCCACGAAAATACACAACCAGACTTCCACTCTCGCCAGGCGCACTCTACCATGTATGTACAGCAACGCCAGGGGGCTACGAGGGAAGATAGCAGAAATGAGGACGCTGCGTGAACATCAGCATTCCGACATCATATTCATCACCGAATCCTGGCTCTCACCGGACATCTCCGACGAAGAGATGCACGTTACTGGCGCGAAACTCTTCCGCAGGGACATACGGCACAGAGCAGCAGAGGGGGTGGCTCTCTACGCAAGCTCCCGTTTAGAGGCAAGGGTAGTTAGAGATACGGCCTTAACCCATCTCCCGCTGTACCAAATACCTACTTGGAGTCATATATCGGTCCCCCACTAGCTCCCTACACATAAGGAAATGGTTGCCAAGGCACTACTGACGACCTTCTCTGCAAATCACGATTGCGTAATCATTGCCGGCGACTCCAATACCCCGTCCATCCTCTTCGAGACGGAAGGGAGACGCATCAGGTCCTTCAATCAGGAGCTGAAGAATGTAATTAAGACTGCTGGCCTCTCAGAGAAAGTGGGTGATGCCACACACTGGGGACCTAACGGAAACGCATCGCGCCTTGTCTAAGTTCTGACGAACGATGAGCTTCTCACTGAGGATGTATGCACCCAACCCTCTATTGGCCTTAGTGACCACGCTGTAATAACTTCCTCCATAATTACTGAGGAGGCTCTGCAACTGGAGACGCCCAACACCCTTCCTTGCTACAGCGGGCCAATTATGAGACCATGAGGGACTATCTCAAAAATCCATCATGGCCGGTAGTTCGAGCTCACCTCACAATGGATTAACAGTGGTTGGAGGTGAAGAAAATAATCGCTGGGGTCATCAGTCACAGTTTACCAGAGGTAACACACAGACTATCAGTGAGAACCTCACGGCTAAAGCTTGGGACAGAGAGGCTTACCCAGAGCAAGAAGCAGGCTTGACTCAAGTGGCGTACATCTTTTCTTGAACTACAAAAGGATTTGCAACCGCTGCAACTTTAGAGTGCGTAGCGGCAGATTTTCCTATCAAAAAAACTTGGCGGAGAGGTTACAGGGCAATCCCAAATACTTGTACCGCTTCATGTCGAGAAGGAAGTCGACCAGCAAGGGGGTGAATTTTGTCACAGGCCATGATGGGAGTATACTAGGCAGTCTAGAGGTTGTCGAGCTTTTGAGCTCACACTTCCAAGCCCAACTTAGCACCGACACAAGTTCCACACGGACTCGTTACGACACCGACCAGGTCGTAAACAACGAATACCTCTGTCACATCTCAATTACAGAGAAAAAGGTGTTCGAGAAACTATCTAGGCTACGTCCAGGCAAGTCCCCTGGCTGCCATAACCTGAAACCAGTGGTTCTAAAAAACTGCTCCGAGGTGCTTACAAAACCACTCTGCAACCTCTTTGAGCACTCAGTAGGGTCGTGCAAACTCACCCATCTTCGGGGGGGGGGAGACAGAAAAGGCCCTGGCAGCTACAGGCCGATTGCTTTACCCCCTGTTGTGTCGAAAGTGTTGAGAAGCCCGGTAGCTGACACTATCTGGGAATTCCTCAATTGGGAAAACACTGTGCATACTGCTCAGCATGGTTTTTGAAGCGGTCGCTCACGTGCCACCAACCTACCAACCGCCTGAGACGACTGGACACTGAGCCGGGATAACAGAAAACCGGTACATGTTGTATTTCTGGACCTAGCCAAAGCATTTACCTGTGCCCCACCCACAGTCCAGCTTCACGAAATCATCTCAGCTGGTATAAGTGAACCCCTACCTTCTTGTTTCAAGGAGTGCCTGGAAGGGAGACAGTTCTGCACTAAAGTAAACAGAATAAGGTCTGAGTGGAGACCATCGACATCAGGAGTATCCCAAGGAGCAATCCTAGAACCACTTCTGTTCCTCCTGTTTGTCAACGATCTGCCGGACAAAATATCCTCACCCATCCTTCTCTTCGCTGACGACATTAAAAATTGGAGTCTGGTAAACGAAGAAGCTGACTGTACAGCACTACAAAGGGACTTGCAGCAACCCGAGACCTGGTCGTCGGAAAATGGCCTGAGCTTCAACCTGGAAAAGTCCAAAGTAATGCACATCAGTAAATATGAAGCAAGTACGACCAACTCCCAATACATGCCAAGCAACCGCGCTATCACCAGAGCGTCCACAGAGAATGATTTGGGGCTCAACTTCTCCGATGCCTTGGATACTAGCCCCAACTTCAAAGGTATGACAACCAGGGCGAATGCCATTCTACGCTTTTTGCGTAGACAGCTTGGCGACCCCACTCTCAAACTCTTCCTCGCCATTTTCAAGTCCTACATGCTGCCGCATTTTGAGGTCTTCAATACTGTGGCTCCTCCAACACTCAGGAGAGACTCTGATCTCCTTGAAAGAATACATAGAACCGCAGCAAAATCAGTTGAGGGGCTTAGGGGAAGGACGGATCCTGGCATACAAAATCGCCCATCAGGCAGAATACGCAAACAAATCAATTTTGCCTGCAACTGAACGATCTTCATGAGGAAACCCCATTAAGATAGCACTTCAGAGAGCCAACATCATACTCAGGTCCAAATTTTTCTCCCTGAGCGTATGTGTTTTATGGAATACCTTACCGCGACATGTACTTATAGCCCGCTCAGTCAATTCATTCAAGAGACGATTAGACAGTTATGTCACCTCGCATGGTCTACCACGGACGTACTCAGGTAGTCACCAACCTCACTAGCCTCCAACTCCCTCTTACCTACCACTCACTATCTCCCTCCTTAATACACCCACATTACCTACTAATTCTTCTGTAGGAACCAAACCCACGCTACCATTTGCGCAATTCTCACTTACTTTTCTCTCCTCATTTCTCTTTTCCAATCCTACTTTTCTTCTCCCTCCTTTCCCTTCTCTCTTCCCTTATTTTTTCCCCTCTTCATTCCTTTACCACAACCTTACCATTCCTCTTCAGGTACCTAAATACACAGGAGTCACGGCAGTTCCTTAAACTTCCTAGCAACCCGTAGCTCCTCAATCACTCTACAAACTACAACTTACTAACCCACAAAACATCCACCTTACCGAGGCTAAAAGCAAGAAAGCAGAGGGGATTTCCTCTTCTACTGCGGGGGTGAACTGGTAACCTCGAACCAAGCCCTGAGAACTGGACGCGAGAGATAAAAAACTATCAGTTTTCTACGCTCGCACTAACAATATTGGATATTGGATACCCTTTGCACGGCTTTTGTCTTTTGCGTTACTTCCTCCATAGAGCAAAGGCTTTCGCATCGAAGAGCTGGGTTTGTCATTTAGATATTGACCACGTTTGCTTTATTACCCTCTTCTTTATTTTCATGCATTTTAAGTCGTGTGACAGTAGCTTAAAGTTATGTTTTGTCATTGTAGCGGCAGCTTTTGGCAAAAGTAATAGGCAAAACCTACATCAAAAATAAATAATTTTGTACATATCAGACTAATGGACTAATATTGTCGTGAGTTTTATGGTGGTTTTTAGCAGAATTGTGTGGTTTATCAGGAAAACGTGGTTTAAAACACCTCTAAGGTGTGTGGTATCACATGTATGGAATACGTATACCACACATGTGGGTAAGATATCACTGAACACCTAGGTATCAAATCCCGGTAACTGCCTGCCTGTCGATATCAGTCATCTATCTCAGATCGGTGATAGACTGTCAGACATTTGGTTGTAATGATCCTATTTTAACTTCCAGGTAGGTTGTAGTGTCTTAGCAGCTGTCGGAAAGGGTGATCCCAAATATTGTATTTCATGTCCCAATAAGTGATAAACGAATAAGTATACATATTCCTTCGTTTTTGTTTATCTTTTGAAGTGTATTTCAGTGGTTTCTGTATAAGTCGCAATTTTTTCAGATAATCAAAATTTTCATATCGATGGTTTAATTCTTCGTTTTAGTGTTGATTACTAGGTACTTCTAAGTAATGTATTTGTCAATGCAAAACTTTTGAACACATGAACGTGTTATGAGTTAAAGTGAACCACCTTTCAGGTCTTAAGCGAGGATTCCAGCTTAGTGAGTTTCAAATGTGGAAGGAAAATTAGGGTTTCTCAAAAGAACGTTAGTTAAGCGAATAGGAAATAGTTGTAGACCCAAAATTTTCAGATGCTTCTCATCTACCGCTTGTTGATCTAGTTGGTATAAGTTTAGTTTGAATTTCATCTATATTTTGCCTAATATATTGCCTTGTCTCATTTTGGTATATTTTTGATGGCATTGGCTAGAATTTCAGTTGAAAATACTTACATTTAAGAAACCTTTCAGTATATCCAGTCATGTTAAGTGTTAGTGATAGAACACAGAAAATTGGAGCAAAAGCGCATAACTATTTGATATGTATTTTTCTTATATTAACGGCAAACTGTTGCTACAGGACTGTATCGTCATGTTGTGTGATATTATAAATCTAACTAATCGTGGGCTTAGAGCACTTAATATTTCCGGGAAATCACTTGATATCGGCTGAATATATAACTGGTGACATCCTGGCACCTACGCAAAAGGCTCATTCATCTTTTTGTTAACTTGTGCCACTTCTGGCGCCATTAGTTTGTTCAAACACCTATTAAGAGCTTTTATTGCACTAATGCCGGCTACATTCACATGATAGTCGGCCTTGTATATCACAGTGACCCAACGAGGTATGCTGGTGCGACTCCTATTTTCTCTGTATCTTACCAGAAACATCTATTGCATAGTGGTAAGACAAAAAGAATTTACCATTATGGTGCAAATGTTTACCGTGTGATAAAGATCTGAGGCCGAAGTACAGCTGAATGGACGGGGGTATGATATCGGTAAGGTTTCCTGCGGATAACCAACAGTGGCATCCTAATTCTGCCTTCCTTATGGGAAAGGGGGACTAGAAAAAGTTGGCCTCGAAAATAGCTCACTCCTTCCTACCCTGCTGTCTTCCGTTCTTAGCAATAGGGGTTTATGGCCGGATTCGAAAGAAACAAACTAAAGTTCCAAACTTCCAAAAAGATCGTTGGTGACCAGCAGTAAGCAAATGTCCCTTCACGCACTGACCCTTCTTTTTCAGGTGCCTCAAGAAGACCCAACCTTCTACGATGTGGGCAGCCAAGAAGTGTCATTCGCAGTCACAATTCTGTCAGTGTTCAGGTTCCCTCAGACATCTATTCACCCTCCTCATTCTTACGTTCTAATCTTCCTTCACGTCTTAGTTAGCAATCCTACATCATCTTTAATTTCTTCTAGCTCTGAGGCTTTTGACAACAATCTGAGTCCAGAGAACAGCATCCCTGGTCTCCTTAAACCACGCCCTTAGTTTTACATTGGAGCCTTCGATGTCCACACCCTCCAAATTGACCAACAAGCTTCATTGGTCAAAGCTGTAGCAACTCAGGCCATGGATGTGTGCTGTGTTAGTAAGATATGCATATAGGACCCAAGTGCGGCTATTCATTTAACCTCTTCAGGTCAATCCGGTGAATCCGCAAAATTCACCCTCCGGGTGAGATTCTGGAGATTCGACGACCAATTCTCGTGGTATTTCAAGTGTAGGTATAGTACTGAGCACTAAGCAAGTTCACTAATTGACTGGATCCCAGCTGAATAGTCGCCTGTGTGTTGTTCGACTGACTCGCGCAGCTAGGACGAAACATACTGTGTAACTCACTGTTGTCTCACTCTAATCTTTACTCACTTACCCATTGGCTGCATTTCGGATAAAATGAAGGATGAGTTCTAACGTAAACTATCTAGCCTCCCACCGGAAGCCAAGCAGTTAGACGTAATAGTTGTTGCAGGTAATTTCAATACACAAGGGGTTAGACTAAGTCAGGCAGAAAGGTACCTCGGTGGCGCCTTCGGGATCCCAGCCGAACAAACAGATAATGGTAATCGTCTACTACCACTGTGCTCAGATAACCATTTATTTCTGGCCAACTCAAAATCCAGACATCAAGAGAGATATTGCCTGGCGTGGCGTCCACCGAGCTTAGCTCAGCAGTGGACATATACATCCCTACGTCATCGCTGAAAAAGGTTGGTGGAAGACTCTCTCCTTTTGGAGCACGTGTCTGGACAGCAACACGAATTGGTTTGAGCTCGCATATATATGCGTCTAAATGGACATAGGAAAATCTTAGCAACAAGCTCGGCAATGAAAGCATCAATATCGCTTTCAGTGAGAAACTGGCTCGACAGTTGTCGAAACGGTACAGCATCACTAATCCAGAAGCTTGACGCTATCTCTAGTCTAATATAAGCATCATTGAAGACCGTGGCCTCACTAACTTTTGTTTCCAAAGTGTTTATTCTCTCACACTATTTTTTCTACTTTGATATCACTTTTTCTATCCACCTGTTCTTCGTTTACTACTGTAATGTGTGGCAACTTGAGGTGATGCACTTGTATGTCAGGTTCTACGTTAATTTTTTCTGTGTATCCGTCTTCCGAGACAATAGATGCACGCGAACGCATCCCTGCAGGCCCCAAGTACAGGAGCAAATGCACCTTAAAAGTAAACTGGCAGATAGTCTAGTCCACGACCGCGAACAGTGGTGGGAAGAGAAGGCTAAATAGATTGAGAAGACATCGGCGGTAGGTAACAGTAAATAGTTAAACGGACTTATCAAGGGAACTGGAGCGAGAAGGTCAATGGTTAGTGAGACGATTAATAAGAAGGATGGATCTACGATTCACTCGCAAGTGAGATGACTGGAACGATGGACGGAACACTTCAAGAAACAGTTCAACTGGCTTCCAGCTACTATTTCGTCGCCTGCTATCCATTCGGAGCCTGAATGGGACATTGAAGACCCCTAACACTTGCAGAAGTCGAGAGAGGTGTAAGTAACCCAAAACAAGGAAGAGCAGCAGGTTCAGGCGGACTACTCTTAGAAGTATTTCAAGACAATAGTCAATGATTTTTAGTGAACTGAAATGCTAACTAGTGTGTGAGAGTCAGATACTATTCTCTCCGACTCGTTTTAATCACTGATTATCCCAGTCTTCAAAATAAGGTGAGAAGTCCTCTTGTGATAACGTCGGAGTAATCAGCCTGACGAAAGTAGTGTTTAACATTCTCAGTTCTATAACGATTAGATATCTGAATGGAGCCCGGAAACAGCGAGCCCAAGAAAACCATTGAGGTTTCAAACCTAGCTGTGGATGTATCGACCAGATATTCACACCCCGTCAGACTCCGGAACACAAACACACTTAACGACGTTGCACGTTTGTTGTATTTCTTGACATGAAGGCTCCATTAAAGGTTGAGTGTACTGCTCTAAAGTTCAATCTGTTCGACTGTGTGGTTGTGAAACATGAACATTGAAGGTGGAGACGTTGAGTGGGTTAAGACATTTGACCACCGTTACCTTCGTAGTGTATGCCGCATGTGTTGGCATCACCACGTCAGTAATCTAGAAGTCAGGTATAGAGTTATAGGTAAAGAGGAAATTCAGTTGATGAGGTTGTGAACGTTTATCAACTCAGGTGTCTGAGTGTGACATGTATTAGGCATACTTGGTGACCATCTGCCTTGTCGCACAGTGTTAGCTGAGGTAGGTTGAAGGTGGAGAAAGATTTGATCGATTAGATTTACACATGGCATCAGAGGATGAAATCTTTGACTGTCGATCTGTGCCGTGTTGGGAAATTAATACCTGTGGGTTGGAGTCTGGGTGGCAACGAAAGTCATTGGTTGGAGACTTAATGAGATGGTTGGGAATCGATCTGTGCAGCACATATATCTACACATTATCATTTTAATCGTCTTGCTGAATTCAGTATTTTCTTATTCCTCCTTCCTCTCTTTTACCAATTTTCGCTATTTTTGGCGAATTCTCCATTTTTATATGTTTCATCTCAGTCCATTGTCGTTTGATGTGCTGATATGAGGTGTGGCAACTTCAACCCATCATCATCATCATCATCATCATCATTATCAACATAGGACCAGGCATTACTGCGTAACGGTCCGAGTTGCCACACCTCATATCAGCACATCAAGTAAAAAGGTAGTGAGGTGAAGGATGAAGATAAGTGAATGCAGTCAAAAGAAATATAAAGTACGAGAAGAAAGGAAAGAGGAGTGACAAAATAGTGAGATTCGGTATAGCGTTGTTAAGATGAGGATAATGTGTGTATACATCTGCGCCACTGACTTCGGTTCTGAGCCATATCACCTAGGGTCTCCAACCACTGGTTCCTCTTGTCCCGTGGACCCCAACCACCTAGTCTGCATCGTCCTACATGGCTTAAACCAACAGTCAGAGACTTCATACATTGGTGCCATGTTTTAGTCTGGCCACCTCGGGCCTTTTTCCAGCCTGAACCCACCTCAGCCAACATTGTGTGACGAGGCAATCGGTGACTAGGCATACGTAGTACGTGTCCCAACCATCTCAGTCGATGAAGGTTCACAACCTCGTCGACTGACTTACCTCTTCTCCCTAAAACTCTACACCTAACTTCTGCATTACTCACATGGTGACACCACGGAATACGTCCTATACTACGAAGGCAACGGTGGTCAAACACCTGAAACCTTTTTATGTCTTCCACTTTCAATGGCCATGTTTCACAGCCATACAGTAGAACAGAGCGGACTGCTGTGCAGTACACGCGACCCTTAATAGACAAACGAATATCACGGCGGCGCCATAGGTGGCGCAAATTGGCAAAAGCCAATCGAGCCTTTTGTATCCGTGCAGAAATCTCATCGGCAACTAACCCACCAGGGTTGATCCTACTTCCCAGGTAAGTGAAGTGGTCAACACACTCAACCACTTCACTCTCTATTGTTAACCGCGGTACCGCTGAAGACCAGTCCTGGAGCAAAAATTTGCATTTGGGTGGTGAAAATCGCATCCCAAACATTCTCAAATTCCCACTCAAAGTGTTCAGAAGACTCTGCATCTTGTCAGCGTCTTCACCTAACAGGACTATGTCATCTGCATATTCTAGATCTAAGGAAAATTCACCTGTGATCGGGTCAACGTCTTTGTAATTAGGTGACGAGAGGGAAACCTCCATAAGAATATCTATGATAAAATTAAATAAGAATGGGGATAGTGGGCATCCTTGACGGACACCACTTGATGAGTATAGCTCCCTGGACAACTCACCATAGGCTCTAACATGCCCACAAGTGTTCGAGTAGAGAGCTTTCAATAAGGTGATGTACTTACTAGGCACGCCTTTCAGTGACAGACACTGCCATAAGACTTCTCGATCAACGGAGTCAAATGCCGCCTTCAGGTCGAGAAATACAGCTATTGTCGGGCGTCTGTAAGCATGCCTATGTTCCAGGACCTGGCGCAGTGTGAATATTTGGTCGATACATCCACGGCCAGGTCTAAAGCCTGCCTGGTTTTCTCGGGCTTGCTGTTCCCGAGCTCCACTCAGGCGTCGGAGAATTATAGAACTTAGGATCTTAGACACTATGTTTGTCAGGCTGATTCCTCTGTGGTTATCACAAGAGGACTTCTCGCCTTTCTTGAAGACTGGGATGATGAGTGACTTAGACCAGTCGGAGGGGATCGTATTTGATTCCCATATACTGGCTAACACTTCCGTTAGCCTGACTAAGAGAACTCTACCACCATTCTTGTATACCTCAGCAGGTAGTCCGTCTGGTCCTGCTGCCCTTCCCCGTTTCAGGCTACCTACCGCTTTCTCAACTTCTTCTAGTGTTGGGGGACCTGTCTCTATGTCCCATTCAGGGTCCGACTGGATAGCGGGCAGCGCAATGGTGGCTGGAGGCCAGTTAAACTGTTCCTCAAAGTGTTCTGCCCATCGTCCCAGTCGCCTTCCCTGCGAGTGAATCGCCGATCCGTCCTTCTCCGCTATAACCTCACTAACTGTTGTTGACCATTTCCCCCCAGTCTCCTTAATAAGTCTAAATAACTGTCTACTGTTACCGATCGCCGCTGCCTTTTCCATCTCTTTAGCCTTTGCTGCCCACCACTGTTCACGATCGTTGCGCAGACTTTTCGTCAGTTTATTTTTAAGTTGCGCTCGCTCTTCATTGTACTCAGAGCCTGCAGGGATGCATTCACGTGCATCCATTAGTTTGGAAGAAGCTGCTGATATCCACTGGCTCTTTTTAGCCATTATCTTGGAGTCGGCTACAGTCTCCAGTGCTGCTTTTACAGTAGACTGAAGATGGCACCAAGCTTCTTCTGGATGAGTGACAGTCTTTTGTTCCGATAACTGCCTAGCCAACTTCTCACTGAACACGGCTTTGGTGTTTTCGTTGTCCAGCAGAACTCGTAGTGGTTTTGTTGCCAAATTTTTTCTACGTCCATTGAGACGCAGGCATATACGTGCTCGGACCAACGCATGATCGCTGTCCAAACACGTACTCCAGAAGGAGCGGCAGTCTTCCACCGATCCTCTCCAGCGATGACTAATAGCAATGTGGTCTATCTGTGTCCATCGCTGAGTCGAGCTCGGTGGACGCCAGGTCAGACAGTGCCTTTCTTTATGTCTGAAATTTGTGCTGGCTAAAAATAGGCGGTTATCTGAGCATAGTTGTAATAGGCGATCACCGTTATCTGTACGTTCAGCTGGGATTCCGAAAGTGCCACCTAAGTGCCTTTCTGCCTCACTCAGTCTACCCACCTGTGCGTTGAGGTCACCTGCAACAACCACTACGTCCGAACGTTTGGCTTTCGAGAGGAGGTTAGACAGTTTATGGTAGAACTCGTCCTTCACTTCATCCGAACTACAGTCAGTGGGTGCGTAAGCAGAGATTACAAAGAGACAACGGCGAGTCTCACTATTCCTTTTAGTTCTCACTGTGCCGTTCAGCCTCATAGCGCAGAGGCGACTATCAACTGGGATCCAGTCTAGTAGTGAGTTTTCTGCCCTGGTGCTTAATGCTATACCTACACCTGCAAGACCACGAGAGCTAGCTATCGAATCTCCAGAAACTCGAAGGGTGAATTTTGCAGATTCACCAGATTGGTCAGGAGAGGTCAGGTGAATAACCACACTTGGGTCCTGTATGCGTGTCTCACAAACACAGCACACATCCATGCCCGAGTTGCTAGAGTCTTTGCCAACGAAGCCTGTTGGCCAATTTGACGGAGGGTGCGGACATTGAAGGCTCCAATATGTAATTTGGAGCGTGGTTTAAGGAGACCAGGGATGCTGTTCTGTGGACTCAGATCGTTGTCGAAGGCTGCAGAGGTAGGAGAAATTGAAGATGATGCAGCATCATTAATTAAGAGACGTGAAGGAAGATTAGAAGGTAATGATGGAGGAGGAGGATAGCAGTCAGAAGAAACTTGGGTGCTGACAGAGTTGTTGTTATTCGTCGAAGACTGTCACCAGTTGGAGGAACAAAGGAAACCTGGGAGCACTGGACAGCTGTTTCGTCCTAGTATGGGACTCCTCAGCAGTGCGCACCCACGACCCCACCAGCAGGGATCGAACCCGCGACCTTCAGGTTCCGCGGCCAGCGCGTTACCATTGAGCCACTGGGTCAGAATCCAATGCTCCATATTTCCAACTTCTGTTAGCTCACGATATAGCGCGAACCGCCACCCAATGTCATCGTTGAGTATCTGTCCTCACGGCCATCAGGCTTTGACTCCACCGGTCACGACTTGTCATTGGAACTTCGGGAATACTTCAACCCGTTACTCAGTAATACCACGTCCTATGTTGATGTTGTTTGTGATCTTTCTACATTGAGCAGCTATCGACTATGCTTCAGGCTGCAGTGGTCGCATATATTCAATAAGAATGAAATCATTATCATCATCATCATCGTCAATACCAACATAGGACCAGGCATTACTGCGTAACGGTCCAAGTTGCCATACCTCATATCACTACATCAAGTAGAAAGGTAGTGAGGTGAAAGATGAAGATGAAAAAATTCAGTCAAAAGAAATATAAAGTACGGAGAGAGAGAGAGAGAGAGAAAGGAAGAATGAGAAAGTGGTGAGATTCGGTATAGCATCGTTAAGATGAGGATAATGTGTGTTACATCTGCACCACTGACATCGGTTCTGAGCCATATCACCTAGAGTCTCCAGCCACTGGTTCCTCTTGTCCCACGGACCCCAACCATCTAGTCTGCATCGCCCTGCATGTCTCAAACCAAGTCAGAGACTTCATGCATTGGTGCCATGTTTTAGTTTGGCCTCCTCAGGCCTTTTTCCAGCCTGGACCTACTTCAGCCAACACTGTGTGACGAGGCAATCGGTGACTAGGCATATATAGTACGTGCCCAAACCATCTCAGTCGACGAAGGTTCATAACCTCGTCAACTGGTTTACCTCTACTCCCTAAAAGTCTATACCTGACTTCTGGGTTTCTCACGTGGTGACACCATGGAATACGGCTTATACTACGAAGGCGACGGTGGTCAAACACTTGAAGCCTTCTCATATCTTCCACGTTGAATGGCCATGTTTCACAGCCATACAGTAGGATAGGGAGAGAGAGAGAGAGAGAGGACTGTTGTGCAGTACACGCGACCATTAATAGCCAAAGGGATATCATGGCGGCGTCATCTGTGGGGTAAATTGGCAAACGCCAGTCAAGCCTTTTGTATCCGTGGAGAGATTTCATCGGCCACTGACCAACGCACCAGGGCTGATCCCACTTCCCAGATAAGTGAAGTGGTTGCCACACTCAATTACTACACTGTCTGTTATTAGCTGTATCACCGTTGAAGACCAGTCCTGGAGCAACAATTTGCATTTAGGTGGTGAGAAACACATCCCAAACATTCTCAACTTGCCACCCAAAGTGTTCAGAAGACTCTGCATCTTGTCAGCGTCTTCACCTAACAGAACTATGTCATGTGCATATTCTAGGTCTAACGAGAATTGTCCTGCGATTCGATCAACGTCTGTGTAATCAGGTGACGAGAGGGAGACCTCCATAAGAATATCTGTGATAAAATTGAATAAGAATGGAGAGAGTGGGCGCCGTTGACGGACAGTAGTTGATGAGCGCAGCTCACCTGACATTTCACTATAGGCTCTAACATGCCCACAAGTGTTCGAGTAGAGAGCCTTCAATAAGGTGATGTACTTACTCGGCACGCCTTTCAGTGAGGAACATTGTCATAATACTTCTCGGTCAACGGAGTCGAATGCCGCCTCCTTCAGGTCGAGAAATACAGCTAGTGTCTGGCGTTTAGGGACTTAGATATTTACCTAGTTGTTCTCTTAGCACATCTCACATGTAGCAGAATCATTGAGCAGTGTAGAGTTTACACGTGGATCACAAAGTCAAGACAGTAGAAAGGTAGTTTTCTCACATTAAGTGACCTTATCAGAGGTACTCTTTTAAAGAAACACGTACAGGCCATTACATGCTAAAACAGTACGTTTCGATCTTTTCCATTTATTATTTTAACTTGTGATGAATTGTTGTATTCCCCAGAGAAAGGGATTTTATGAGGTTGCAAAGTTTAGTACAATTAACCTTTTGCTTCCTGGGTACTGTCTAAATATATTCCTATCAGTTGCATCTTCACAAGATTCCGTTTTTGTATTCACACTTTCTAGATAATTTAGATTATTTTGTCGACAGGTTATTAACCTCTTAAAGGCGAAATTAGTAACTCCTAAGATGTCAAAAAAAAATAAGAGAAAAAAGTTACATGAAGTATTTTGGATGTATAATAAGTAGACACAAGGTTAAGATAGACTTTTTGTTACTTTTTATCTTAATGGGCTATCGTACTGTCACAGTTGCCACTGAATTTGATTTTGAAGTACTTCCACGTTAACATTGAGAAGACAAGTAAATTGAGTGAATACGTATCTACGTTTGTGTTTTCAGGCTTACCCGTTCAATACTAAAATTGTATACAATGCAATATACACACGTGTAGATTAAAAATTCGGATTAAATTTAACAAACATTTAGATAACCATTAGTTACTGCTTTTATGCGGTGGTCAGGCATACCTGTCGTAATGGCCTAACGAATTGCCAACTGAAATAAATGTTCTTTGAGGTCCTACCATACCAAAAAAGACTGTTAAATATTGGTGAAACTAAGAGCACTTTCCATCGCAGTATAAATAGCATACGCTATGGTGAAAGTACAACAGTGAAGTCATACAGCTAGTTGGACGTGGTGTAGCAGCAGTAAGGTGTTTTTTGTGGATGGCAGACAATTCATTCTCATGCTACCTTCCCTATAAGAAGTTAAAAAAAACTCGACCTAGAAAATGAAACGCTCCTCTCTATCCTGCTGTCATACGATAATGGTGGTAAAACAATTGAATCTCAGTCCCAAACACATGTGACCAGTTTCAAGCAGGTGTCTTTTAAACTCTGCGCTCATGTAAAACCGATCCGTTTTTTCTTTCAAGTACCCTGCAGAAATAGCTTTCATGGTGTTGGCAACCGGATACTGATTGATATCGATAGTTATAAATAAATCTGAACGACGTCTTCGCTTTGTCGAGTCTAATGTTGTACTTCAGAAGTTGATTTGTCTTATTTAGCTCCATAAGATACTTGGAAAACCTTAGTCGTAAAAAATCTCGTGATAACTTGGAGGAGACACGTGAATTTAGGGAGTACTCATTTTCAACAGTACTTTCAAATTAAATTTGTAAATAGCAAAGCCTTGTATAATACAATATGCACGTGTTAATTGCTAGTTCAGATTAAATTTAACAAACGTTTGGGTGTTTATCACACCAACCTATAAGTGTTTGTAACCCTGAGAAATGTCTGTGAAAATGTTTACTAAAACCATTTAACTATGCGGATTGTAATATTTTGAGTGAATACAAACCTGTGAATTGGGGAGAGTGTACTTCCCGAGACAGCTTGATACATAGAAAGTATGCCTTAACTTATAGATGAAATATGGGCATAGTACAAGTGGGAGTAAATAAAGTAACATTGTCGTATATGTATTTTATGTGTTGTACACTCATCCTTTCCTTTGCTAACTCATCTAGAAAAGAGACAATAATTATGTCAGACGATAGTGATGCATTCGCCAGTGCAGACGAAAGTTTAAATGTTAGTGTGAAGGAGAATAATTCAGTGAAAGAAGGTTTATCGCGTAGTTCGAAAGCTAATATTGATGGTGATAACAACGATTCTACTCTAACGGAACAAATTACATCGAAGCCACTTTCTCATTCAGTGCCGTTACCTACCAAAGACCCGGATGTAGTTGAGGTGAAGAAAAAGAAGACTAGACTGAAAAAGCCGAAATCTACACCAAAGCAACGCGAAAAAGTAAGCCAGCTTTACGAAATATTTTATACTGTATGGCTTCAATTGTATCTGAATAAAAGTCTATGCATTAAAATGAAGATAGTGGGTTTTTAATTACAGATTTATGGTTTTTGTATGATTGTTGTTGTAACTAACTGTTCAGATTGTATATATTAGTTTCTACATAAACTACTTCCTAGGTCAAATATAGTCGATAGGCGTGGAACTTCTCGCCAGCAGAGTATTTCTGCAGTTTCGAGGAGATACATATGCCTTGTAGCATCTGAAAATTTTGCATTAACTTGTTAGCTAATAACTTCAAAACAGATTATGTCCTAAGCACATTGAATGTCCAACATCTCATGCGATAAGTCACTCTGATTCTTTGATCTCAAAACTGAATGAACCCTCAATATTAAAGGTTGTGAATCTTTTATCGGTCAGTGTCAGTGTCTGACTCTATAGTGACACCGAAGGTAGTCACACGTAAAGTTATCATTATACAACCTCGTTTGAAAAACATCTCCATTTGCATCATTACCATTATTTTCCTTTATTTTGTTTCTTTTCGGAAAAGTACAATGAAATGAACAATGTGCACTTTCTACAGTAGGTAATATTCTGAAACTATTGACTTATCATGTACTCATAGGCGCAATAACGTAGTAAGGATGTAATTTATGCTTCTATATCATCTCACTTTTAAGCGTTTTCTAATTGTCAGTCATCATCGTCATTATCAATATCAACATAGGACCAGGCGTTACTGCGTAACAGTCCAAGTAACCACACCTCATATATTAGCACGCTAAGTAACAGAGTAATATGATGAAAGACGAAGAAAGAAAGAAAAATCTGTCAAGAGCAATTAGAAGTAATAGAAGAGAGGAAGGGAAAATGAGAAAATGCCTAGTTCAGTATAGCGGTTAAGATGAAGGTAATGTATGGATACATTTATACCACTGAGGTTCATTCAGAGCCATGTCACATCGAGTCTCCAACTACTGAGTTCTGTTGTAATGCGAACCCCAACTGGCTAGTTCACTTCTCTCCTTATGGTTCAAACCGACAGTCAAGGGCTTCATGCAGTGATGATGTGATTCAGTCTGGCCACCCCGAACCTTTTTCCAGTCTGAATCTACGTCAGTTAACATTACGTGTCAGAGCAGATTGTGACTAAGCATGTGTAATATATGTCTCAGCCGGCCATCTTATTTGATGAAGCTTCACAGCTGCATCAACTGACTTTTTCTTCCTCCTTAAAAATGGACACCTGATATCTGCGTTAATCACGTGGCTACACTTTCATACATAATATATGCGTTACGAAGGCAACAGAGATTAAACTCCCGAAGTCTTCTCATATCCTCTACCTCTGTGGCCGTATTTAATAGTCATACAGTAGAACAAAGTGAATTGCAGCCTAATTCACTTGACCCTTAATCAAAATCAGATATCGCAGCGACACCAGAGATGACGTAAGTTGGTGAAGAACAATGAGCCTTGTGGAGATTTTGCCGGCCGCTGATCCACCTTATCCAACTTCCCAAGTAAGTTAGGTGTTTAGCTCACTAAAACACTCCGTTCTCCGTTTGTCAGTAGCGCTTTTTTTCTTTTTCATCAGACAGTGAATATGCAGGCGGTTTTGTTTGTGATATTTTCATAATAAAAGAGTTTTTCCTTTCGGATAATCTCTTGAAAATAATCAGTCTTGTTAGAATGTCAGGCCTCATTCTTTTTATAATGTGTTTACTTGTTACTATAAGATGGGAAATATGAAAAGTATATACAAAAATATTTGGTGGCACTTAGTTAAATGGATTATCTAATTTCCTTGTTAGTGATCTTAGATGTGGAAATAAATGAGGCTATTGCAAGCTGCTTAGTTTGTGGTAAGAATGATACAGTTAGGCAAGATATCCATTCAGCAATCTTGTACACATTGTTGAAGTAGACACTGAGCCACCCCTTTTGTGTGAGGATTAGTGATATTATCTGGATGCCCGAACCCCATTAGATGGAGCAGGGTTCGAGCTCGTGGCTCGTTTGAAAGTCAACTCCCTAAACCAGTGAGCTACAGCACCCTGTTAAGCGAAACCCGATTGTAAAACCCCACTGTAGTTTTCTTTGAATGCCAAAATATTTAAGCCACAAGATATGATCTCGACATCACTATTGACGCTGGAATTATGAGCGTGATAACCACACAAAATATGTCTCAGATCACCGTGGTCGATGTGGGCGGTTTGGACTTAATGATGTCAGACAGCAGTGTATCTGTTATTGTGTAAGACTTAAACGGAATCAGTGACATAATGGTTAAAGGGAATAGTATTTTCGAACTTCGATGGAGGTATCCCAGACAAGTTTATTTATTTGTAATTCAATTTTAGTCTGTTTATTAGGAATGTAACAGTAAAAAACAGTGCCATTTACTAAATAACGTTTTGGACACAATTTATTGTTCATATTCATATCAGGTAACTCCACAACTTTGAAACAGAGTTTATGTAGTCCTAGTTTTCTCTTCTTTTTTGTGACGATAGGTTTTATTAATTATAATTCTACTACTAATAGTAATAATGGTAACAGGTTTGAGAGCGAATTTAAATCCACTTCTGTGCTACCATAAAAGGAAGGCACCTGAGATATATTACGAAGAATCCTGAATAAGGCTGGGATTAAAGTCGCTTAGAAACAAGCTTTGTAGGTTGAAAGATCCTACTGATGCAATTCAGCAAATTAATCTGGTTTACTAAATCCCTTGCAAATAACTACGAGGTCAAATACACAGGTCAAAGTAGTCGCAGAGGGTCGATTAGAATGACAAGGCACAAAAACTTACCTAAGTGAAGATTAGTAGATCATAATAAGATAGGAAATTTAGAAAAAATCTCGGCTATAGTACGGAATTGCCCACAGTCACATAGTAGGGGGAGGGGGGGGATAAAGCGACAGTACTAAAAACTAACTTAGTTGGGTGGAGGGAGAGGTTGGTAACCAAAGCTTTGTTTATCGAATCAACACTGAATATATGCGATAGAAATGTTTCTGTACCTGTCCAAGATATATGAAAAACTCTACTACCCTTCTCATCACAGAGAAGGGGAGAAAACGAGGACTATATAAACTGTCTCCAAGTTGTGGAGTTACCTGATATAGATACGGACAATAAATTGTGTCCGAAACGTTATCCAGTAAACGATACTGTTCCTTCACTGCGTTACATTTCTAATAAACAGACTAAAATGAAATTACAACCTCTTACAGTACCCAGGTTTTACTCCTTTATGTATTTGCTTATAATGTACTGCTGGAGAGTTCTCTCGATTATCATCTAAGCCATGGTTCGAGCTAAACAATTTAGAGTGTGCTTTGGCGTTTAAGAAAAACTGGTGTGAACAGTTGTATATTAAATCGGGTTTATTGGTTTCATTGGCCATTCTAATACCTATTTCATACTATAAGTAGTTTTTGTAGTTTTTTTTACTTCAAAATAATAATTCGACTAAATCATCATGTTTTACTTGTTTGCAAATATGGTTTAAATTTTTTTAACTTTTCTGTTTTTATAAGAGTGGTTTCCGTTAAAAGAATCAAGTTTATTTAGTTGACGGTTTTCGGAAACTAGTTAGTCTAACAATCGTTCTCAGCAACCAATGTTTCGATAAAATTATGACAAGAGCATTTTCTGTATGTGCGTTTCCTGGAAACATAATGCAACTATTCTAATGCTTTAAGTAATAGTTGTGAATGCTTATTATCTATATAATACGTAGACTGGATGAGAACAGGTGGATAAGTTTATCATTTTGAAACCCTGTTGTATTCACCGAAATATAGTGCTGAGTGATCTAGACGTTCAATTATCAGACGGACAGATAAAGCGAAATCAACGTAGAACTTTGCACACAAGTGCATCAGTTCAAATTGCCACACTTCATAGTAGTATACAGAGAACAGTTGGTGATGCCACGAACATACAAGTGATCATAGCTCTGTAACCGCTTCATATATCCCACTTTTAATGACCATATCTCATAGCCGTACAGCAGGAAAGAGCAGACTGTAGCACAGTATACTCGTTCTTTAATAGGTAGTCGGATATCTCGCGAATCAGTGCCAGAGATGAAAATTTGGCAAGTGCCGAACGCGCCTTCTGTAATCGACCTGAGGTTCTGTCAGCAACCAGCCCGTTTAGCTTGTTGATGCAATTCCCCAAGCAAGTGAAATAGTCGACTCATCCCACCACTTCACTGCCTGTTATTAAACTGGGAGTACTTGTAGCAGACCAGTCCTGGAGCATCATCTTACATATGACAGATGCGAAACGCATATCAGCCAAACATACCCAGATTTCCACTCAACGCGTTCAGAAGACCCTGGATTTTGTCAGCGTTTTCACCTAGCATGACAATATCGTCTGCATACCCCAAGTCATGTGGTTGCCATCCATGGAGCACATCAATCCCTGTAAAGTTAGAGGTACCTAAGTTTATATCTGTTAGTTCATCTATAACGATATTAAATAGGATTGGTGACCATTTGATCATTAAACACTTAGTAACAGATCGATACCCAAATCCACTTGTTTTATGTTGGTCAGTTTTTAATGCAACTGATGTGCCTCAGCCTTTTAAAAGCCTATGTACATAATCAATTACATATAAGTGCTTGAAGTATAGTTATCGTTTTTCAAGTCTACTTGCTTATTACAGCTACTGATTAAGACATTTTTTCTTCTTTGCTAACTTAGATGAAAAAACCCCATCAGATGTCAACTTAAAGTCAGATGTTAAGCGAGATACTACATCCATTTCTGAAGTTGTCACTGATGAAAATACAAAGTCGGACACAAGAAATGAATTTTCACCCTCCTTTGAAAAGGTTGGAATTCCAGCTGTGATTGAAGAATTCGAGACAAGGCCAAATGGCTTAAAGCTAGAGAAAAGTGTTACCAATAGTCCAGACACTTCGCAGAAGGATTTTGAAGGTACTGATGAGCCTAGCGAACAAATTACTGACTCTTATAATCCTAACCAACCGGTTGAATGTGTTCATAAAGAAAGCCCATTAGCAGCATCAAACATTTCGGAGGAAACGGCTTCAACGTCTACCTTTGAACTTCATTCTGTGATAGATAAACTATCAAAAGTTGAACCTCTAACGGAATTGGATTTCATCACCTCAGCTGCTTCCAATATTGCACGTGGTTTAGGTGATGGAATAAGTTCACTTGTCGGCGTACTGGGTGATGTAATTCAATTAAATCCATTAGATGGTCCTGTAGATGAAGAAAAACTGAAACGGAGAACTGAAAGACAATCTGAAGAAGAGTCTGAAAGAAGAGTTATCTCAGAGGCCTGGAACAATGTTTGGAATACATCATGGACTGATATTGGTGATAATAGCGATGATAACGATGATAAAAATGACGGATGGGAAGTGGATTATTTAGAAGAGTCAGAAGATGTACTCAAATCAAAGTCAAATAGCATTACCCTTCAGATGACTAAAACTTCTCTAAATTCCGATCCAAAGGATAATCCTTCATATGACGAAAAGACTACATCAAACACAAAGTATCCTGATGTAGAACAACACAAATCAAATGGTAACAATTTCTCATGGGGTTGGAGCGGTTTATCTTCGCTTAGTCAACAACTGACCTCTTCACTACAAGCAACAGTAAGCGATAATTTGTGTTTTTATTCTTTCCTTGTTTCTTCGCATTCATTTGATATATACTATAGACAAATGGTAACCGGCAGTAAACATGTTCGTTACTTCCCACTAGTTACACATGCAGCCGTTTTATAAATTGATACTTTTATTCATATTGTATAATTTATTATGACTTCAATACAACTAACTGCATTATATATAAGCTTGTTAAGTCGATTTCTATTATACTTTAGGGTGCTACCTTGTAAAATAGACTATTCTTGAGTATTGATACATATATCCAACAAATCCTTATTGGATACAAATTGAATGCTACATTTCTTATATCTTAGTCAACCATATATGGCAGTTACCATATTTGTCAGACGAAAACAAGGGGATTTTAACTTCCGTTTATTGTATATTCTTTCCAAAAATAGAAGTATCTAAAATTTAAAGTATCAGATTTTCAAGTATTGTGGTTTATTGTCCAGTACGCTATTGGTTTTAGACGTTTAAATGTACAGTTAGTATGTGCTTTCAAAAGGCCAAGAACTATGTTGCAACAATTTTGTGTGGTCAATATAGTTAGAGTGATAGTGTAGATATGGGTAATGAAAACAGAAAAGGTCAAATGCGGATGCTAAAGTTGTTATTGGTCAGTAGGAGTTAGTGTATTGCTGGTGCTTTGCTAGCAATTAATATTTGGCTAATACTCAAGTTGCTGAACTGACCACCCACTGAAATGAAGGTTACTATTGTGGTAATTTAAAGTTCATGGTTCAGTAGACATATTCTTCGAACCAATCATATACAATTCCTTCGTTAAAAGCCCTTGAGAATGCGATGTAAGGTGATAAGGCTAAAGGTGTATTTTTGTTTATGAATGAAAAGGTAACCTTCAACTTTATATTTAACAGTCAAGTAACTGAAACCATTAATTTACAACTTCAAATCGTGTTTAATAAAAATATAACTTAGTATTTATTATTATTTATTGTTGGAAATAGTATTCCATATATAAAATACTCTTCCTAGAAATTGCCTATACATATTTGACATATTTTATAGAGTCTAAATCTAGTCCAAGGAGGTGTTGATGTTCTTGAATTGATTGGGCGTAAAACAATGTCTGTATTGGCTGAAAATGATCCTGGCTATGAGTATACAAAGAAATTCCTACATCCACCGAATTCCGCTAATAATCGTCCAAATCTTTCTAAGGTATGTTCATTTTACTCTGTACTTCTCTGTAGTTTCTACATTATAGAATTCAAGAATGTGAAAAAAATTTCAGATTTAATTATTTCAAAGATCATAGACATCTAGACAAACTTTGAAAATCAAGGACTATTGGACAACTGTTTAATCCTCATTTCATAATCGTTTGTAGTGTCTGGTCCATAACTTTCTTTTCTCATGGAGACCACGTCACAATTTAGCCATCGGATTGCGATTCTGTGGTCTTTAGTTTTGGTATTTAACTGTCACCTTGCATAGCTATGACGGACACATTTATAGTGCTAAAAGTAAGACATTGAATATCGAATCGAAATACACTCAGCTACTTTATGTACGTTCGTGCAGTATTCAATGAGCCACACCTATTCTTGTCTGAGAGCTAATGATACTACCTGGCTTTCCAAAACCCGGTTGGTGGCGTGGGTTTCGAACCCACGACCCATTGGTTAAAAGTCATCCCCCAAACCAATGAGCTATAGAACTCCACCTTTGAATATAACTTTAAATATATACATATATACCGATTAAACGTTTTAGACCTTCTTTATTATGATCACTAACAGGTATTTTTTTCTGTGGACAATGCTGAACAATAAGTTGATATGCTGGGAGTAAATAATATGGTGTATGATCATTTGTAGTGGTGTGGTTGTGTTGTGCCTTCATGTATCTCTTCCCAAGCTATTCTCCTCCCTTTGTTATTTGTTCCACTTCTAACCATATTCCACCATATTTATTTTCTGACAATGTTAGACTGATATGTAATTTTACCCGCCTACTACGTTTGTTTATATCTGTTAACTATTCAGAGACTTAACAACCTAAAATTGAACATCTAAGGTACTCATTTGTCGACTATGCGATTCGTTATATATGACTTGTTCACTACCTACTTCGATCCTTACAGACATTTGTCGTGTAGATTGCTCGAACAGTGTTAGTAGCTCTCATTCAACAGATTTGATTTAATTTCTAGTAGATGATCATACATTTATCTCGATATAACAGCATGGGGAGACAAAAGGTAAACCACTGGGAGTTGTGCCTTATTGGTTTATGGAGTTGACTTTCAACCAATGGGTCATAGGTTCAAGCACTGCTCCACCTACTGAAGTTTGTGCAACCAGGTGGTATCATTACCCCTCACATAGTAATGGGTATGGTTCATTGCCTACTGTATAAATGTGCGCCAGGTTGTTAAGTGGATTTCGATTCGATTCTAACCATTATCAACTTCTACTTCTTAACCGGATCGCAGCTGATATAAATATACAGAGCCCTTATTTATGAGTAGAACTGAAACAAGAAAAGTGACTAGCACACCAAAGTGTAAACTTAGTCCAACAGAGAAACCGGTAAGCTGTAGAGTCGTAGAAACGAAGGCATTATCTAATAGACGATGATAGGAAATAAAGACATGTGAGTACAGTCAATCGATGGAAAAACCTCACATTATTAGCAGGTTTACGCTAAAATATACTAAAAATATAATCGACTAGTGAATTGTTTAGCTACTATACTGTAATAACTTTTCAGTGGTTATAGACTTATTGCTTTTAGTATTCTGTATTCAGAGGACTAGATGAGTTAAGTGAAATCTGTAAAAAGTATTCTCTTTTGAAGCCTGCATTTTAGGCACTCTACGTTCCACCAATAAGGTCAGTGTTTTAGTTTCTACATTGTTGATTGGTGATGGATGCAACAATCGCTAGGTTAGAGGTTTAAGGAGGAGAGGAAAGTCAATTGATACTATTTTGAAGCTTTATTGGCTCAGCTGGCTGGCTGGGAGATGTGTTACGCATGCTTAATCCCCGTCTGCCCCATCGGACAATCTTAGTTGAAGTAGATTTGAGCTAGAAGAAGGTTAGTGGTGGTTAATCTGGAAAATGGCATCTCTGCATAAAATCTTTGACTTTTAATCTGAGCCATATAGGGAAATGTAGACTTCTCAGTTGGTGTCTATATGGTGACGGAAATCAGTGGTGATATAGTTCGGAATCAATCTCAGCGGCACACCTGTACCCACAATTAATATTCATACCGAATCCAGTAATATCTTAATCCTCCTGATCATCTTACCGTGACTTGCTATCACTTCTGGCTGTTTCCTTCTTTGTTTCTTTATCCGTCATCGTAGTGCATTCTTGGTTGATATACTGATATGAGATGTGGCGCTTGAACCCGTACGCAGGTCCAGTCTACCACGCCATATGTTAATGCTGTCTCTCTGGATGGGTGGGTCTTACTAACCTTCATAGAATGTGCAGGCATAGATACTTGAATTTATCAGATGCAGCTTTTGGTGATTTCCGAGTTGCAACTGACGTTTAAGCCTCACAGTGTTACTTCCTAGCTAGTAGGTGAAACCAGATTTGGTTTTTTGTTATAATAAAGAAGTTACTCATTCATATCTAATCATCATTGTTTGTCTTATTTACACAGAATAAGAGTATTATTCACTCATCGTCCTATTACGTTGACTAGAAAGTTTTATATAAAGTACCCAAATGATTACTTAATAGAAAATCATATGGATCTGTTGGCCAAAGCGTGAATAAGGAGTGATTATTGAAAGTCATGACATTGATGGTGTTTCACTTAGTGGTTTGTGGGGATCAATTAATTGCATTACAGAATGAGATCAGTTAAAGAATTATCAAAAGCCTGGAAACACTGGAAAGCTGTTTCGTCATAGTTTAGGAACTCCTCACCGGTATGCGCGTCATAAGGAGTTGAGTCCCAAACCGTCAGGTTTAGCGGTAACCATATGCTATCCAGTCACCAGATTGGAATTTAGTTATCTCTCTTGTCAATACGCCATATGATAGGACCATCATTCAGTAACATTGGTAAGCAATTGTATTCCTGTGGGGTTGTGTGTCCGCACTGCTGAGTGAATGGTTGCGAGCTACAGCGCAGAACAGCTATCCAGTGCTCTTAAGTTCTCAGTGGTCCTCCAGCAGATCTTAATCTGTGTTGAAAACTGCTTTGAAACTTATGGTACTGTCAGTTTTATCGATCAAGCATCATTAGAACTCACAATGGATGGGAACGCACTTAGCTACCTTGTGCACATCTGTACAGTAGGCATTGAGTCACATCTGTTGTGTGAAGGCTTGTGATACTGCCTAGCTGCACAAACCTTAGTGGGTGGAGCGAGGTTAGAACCCGTGACCAACTGGTTGATAGTCATCTCCCTAAACGACTCATCCACAGCTCCACAATGGTTTATAGTTTGAAAGCAACGCGCCTTGAATAATTTCATTTTCATCCAAGCTACCACAATCCCTAATAAACAGAAGAAATAAAGCAGAATTTCTACCTACTGAACTTTTAAAGATGTGAGTGCAATACTAGACAGGGAAAGTAAGTTGATTGATGAAGTTGTTAACTTCCATCGACTGTTATAACTTCGAAATGTTTTGCGCCTACCAGACGGCTGTTCATCTCAATGTTGCATGTTGGTGGAAACACGATCAAACTGGGAAAAGGTTAAAGGTGACCAGGCCGAAACATACACTAGTTTCCTAAGTCTCTAACTTTTGATCTGGGTCATTTAGACTGGCTAGTTAGAGTCTTTGAGATGATAGGACTCAGTTGTAGGAGACTTTTGGTGATTTGACTAAAAATTGATGACAGTGGTTCAAGTATTCGAAATTTTGAGTCGGAATCGATATCTGAATGCACTAAGTAACCTTGTGCACTTTTGTGGAGTATACAATGAGTCATCCCTGTTATATGAGAGCTATTGATGATACTACCTCGGTAGGTGGAGCGGGGTTCGAACCGGTGACTTATAGACTGAAAGTCATCTTCGACCAATGAGTATTGTCATCAACTTTGATCCCATTTTTCTGTTTTGCATTCTGTTTTGTGAAGTGTTGCAACATGAACCGATACAGTTCTGTACAGAGTTCCACGTTAATTTGTTATACGTATAATGTGTGTATTTATCATGGTTGAAGGTTTTTTTGTTTGCAATGGTGTTTATCTAATTTTTTTGAAGATGGAGGTAAGCGGGATATTTTGGTATGCATTTTACGACTGCAAATAATCCAATAACTCTTCATTCCTTCTTTCATACACAACACATCATCTTTTTTTCTATATTGAGATCTGCTTATTTCTGTCTGATTGGTGGGGAAATAAAATAGATATGATCATATGGAGCTGTTGCTCATCTTCGAACCAGCAGGTTAGTAGTTAGAACCCGATTCCATGTGTCAAGTTTTCAGCTTTTATACACAATAGATGCGTGGTTATCATTGACAACTGTACGAAAGTATATGTAGTAGTTGAGAGTGCATTTCAATTTCGATTCGAGTCTATCATAGACATTGGATTGAATAGGAAGTAAGGAAATAATTGATGAAGCATATAAAACAAAAGCGAATGTCACTAATATATTTCTTCATTAATCTCTTTTAGATACCATTTGCTAGGTTATAAATGTTTATAAGGTTTGGTAATTTGTGCGATAGAAAAAACGTATTGTAAAAAAAAGCATTGAGTAATTTGACAGTTTGTAGGAAGGATTAGTAGTCACGTGTACAGGGGAAGCAATATATACTTTTTAAAAAACTCTTAAATTAGGTAAATTTTCCTTAATCATGAATTCTTTCTCTGTAAGCATTTTACAAGAAATCTTAATATCTCTTAAAGCATGAAGACTGCCGCCCTACACATATTAGTAACAATCCATTTGCTGCCTAAATAACTTAAATGAATAGTTCATACTTGTTTGAAATGGTTGAGTGTGTTGACCAATTCACTTACTTAGAAAGTTGAATCAGCTCTAGTGGATCTGTGACTAAGGAAATCTCTGCACGGATACGAAGGGCTCACTTAGCTCTCGCCAACTTACACCATTTAATGGTGTCACCCTGAAATCTGACTGCTTATTAAGTGTTGAGTGTACTGCTCTGAAGTTCAATCTGTTCTACTATATGGCTGTGAAACATGAACATTGAAGGTGGAGACGTTGAGTGGGTTGAGACATTTGGCCACCGTTGCCTTCTTAGTGTATGCCGCATGTGTTGGCATCACCACGTCAGTAATCCAGAAGTCAGGTATAGAGTTATAGATAAAGAGGAAATTCAGTTGATGAGGTTGTGAACGTTTATCAATTCAGGTGTCTGAGTGTGACATGTATTAGGCATACTTGGTGACCATCTGCCTTGTCGCACAGTGTTAGCTGAGGTTGGTTCAGGAAGGTAAAATATTTGAGGTGGTCAGACTAAAACATGTCATCAGTGGATGAAATCTTTGGTATGAGCCTTGTGAGATGTAGACTTCTCGAAATAGCTGATTGGAAACCGGGAAACATAGCTAAGTATCTATCCCACTGGTACAAATGTATCTATTTACCACCTTCATCCTAGTCGTTATACCACTTTTCATTGTTTTCCTATTTTCTTTGTCCTCTTTTTACTGCTTTTTACTTCCAGGTTGGAGTCAGCATGACAGCAGAAAGCAATATTTAGAGACTGTTGGTGACCTGACTGAGAATCCATTTCAGTGGATCAGATTTATTCACATGTTATCTCCATCTTAATAGTTATACTGAATCTTATGTTTGTTCGCTCACTCTCTTTTGGTGACTTTCTACCATTTCTGACTGCTTTCTTTTCTATTCCTTGATCTTTCATTGTAGTTCTTTCTTGCTTGATGTTCTGATATAAAGTGTGGCAACTTGAACTACTGCTCAGTAATGCCACGTCCTATGTTGATATGGTCTGTCAGTACAACAGTCATCTTTATAGACAAGAGCTTGTTCCATTTTGGTTTAGGATTTCTGTAACATACCAACCATGCACATATTTGTATACCAGGCAATGGGTTATACCTACTATGTGAGAGTTAGCGATGTTACTTAGTTGTCAAAACCTCAGTAATATGGAGTGGGGTTCAAACTCGTCGTCCGCTGGTTAAAATTCGATTACCCAGATAATTAGGACAATACCTTTTTACGAAACTATTATCCTACATCAGTGACATATTTTAGGCTGAGGTTCGTGAGATTACAACTCATTGGCTTAAGAGTTCACATTCCAAGCAACGGGTCCTGGGCTCGAACCCTGTTTGACTTACTTTAACTTGTGCAGCCAGGTGAGTATCCGAAGTCTTTATATTATGAGTGTGGCTCATAACCTAGTAGGTAGACACGTGCGTGTATTGGGTCGCATTATTATTATTGTTATCATTATTGTTCAGGTGTAAGTTCAATATTTCTACTGTAGCATTATATAATTCTTATTTATATTGCTGTTATTTGTTGTCATAGATATTACGTGAAGCCTATGAACTACACTCATCTTCAGAATCTACTAATAGTAAATATTCTAAAGAAAAACGTGGTGATTTCACTTATCAACTTGAATATTGTCGGGCATTACTCCATCTAGAATCATTAGAGTTAGTCAGTGAACAAGCCAGTAATCAATTAAATAATCGTTTAGATTTTTTATCATCACCGAACAATTGTCCAATTGATCAGAATTATAAACATTTACTTGAAACAATATGGAATCATCTTAATTTAGACGAAACTAGTAATGATGAATATTTGATGACGAATAATGGTAGTGAAAGTGATGGTGATAATAACAACACCATGACTGAGAATTCATATACATGTTTAATGGGAAAATTAAAAGATAAACACATCCTTGATACAAATGATAAGAATGATGAAATTCAACAACAATTACCTAAAGATTTAACCAGTCGAAGTATTGAATTATGGTGTAAAGTAATTAAAATATCCTGCTGTTTAAATATAATTTATTCAAATGACCGCTTTTTAAAAGTACGTAAGTTTAATCGAAAGAAACAAAATACTGTGTCACATTTAAAGCATTTCATTTACTGACTATTGAATATTGAATTTCAATTTACATGTATCTTTGCTCAACTTAAGTCTACGAAACATCCCCATCGAGTCATAGAGAAAAGAAGAGATAATTCAGAGAAGACAATTTTGTTTCTCGACGATATCATTTTCTAAAGTTATACAATCGTATTTGTATATATCATAAACATATAACAATCTATTATTAAACTACAGGGTATAATTGCATCATTAAAAGCCGAATTCAAGAATGGAAAGTGGTTGCGTAATGATCTTTTGAACAGTGGGAATAACAAAAAGGACAAGGAGTTTGACAAGGTGAAAATTGTTGGTAGGTGAGAAATGCGAATATTGAGTGTCCACTCGATAGATAGATAGATAGATAACGTAAAGAAGGTGAAGAATGAGACAAGAGTCATAATGAAGGTGATAATAATAAACTAACTAATTATAATGAAGTCGAAAAAGATTGTGAAAATGTTAAGACCATGGTAAGATGTAAGATTGAACATACTTCTTTTGTACGTAGAGATCAGGTTTGAATTGGTGAATCGCCAGTATTTCTGCTGTGCACAACTGTCAAAGGCGTACTCCTTTTGAACTATTCCATTTGACTCTATAAATGACACTGAAGGAGGACTTTGGTCGGGCTATATGTCCAGAGTTAATTAAGTGTTCAAGAATTGAACTCTTAATTGGTTTATATTCTCAGAGATACGTTTGGAAAGTGCGCTTTGTGCGGCCTACATAACTAGCTCCACAGTAGCAAGTAAATTTGTAGACACACACCAAGGTGGTCGAAAACGGTAACTTATCTTTAACGCACTCCGGAACCAATTGCTGACTAGTTAAGCTGATCTGTAGCTTCGCAGTGAAGAATGTTTTCTTCAGCGATCTGGACAGCCGATTCATTATAATTAGTTAGTTTATTATTATCACCTTCATTATGACTCTTGTCTCATTCTTCACCTTCTTTACGTTATCTATCTATCTATCTATCGAGTGGACACTCAATATTCGCATTTCTCACCTACCAACAATTTTCACCTTGTCAAACTCCTTGTCCTTTTTGTTATTCCCACTGTTCAAAAGATCATTACGCAACCACTTTCCATTCTTGAATTCGGCTTTTAATGATGCAATTATACTCTGTTGTTTAATAGTAGATATAATAATAATAATAATAATAGATTGTTATATATTTATGATATATACAAATACGATTGTATAACTTTAGAGAATGATATCGTCGAGAAACAAAATTGTCTTCTCTGAATTATTTCTTCTTTTCTCTGTAACATGTGTGTCTATCAAAGGTTGTGTATAATGCGATGGGCAAGTGACTTATTTGAAGTTTATTCAACTGGAAACAAGTTTTTAACTTTTTGATGCTTCTCAACAACATATGTTTTAGTCACAACATAATAGAAAATTCTACGCTCTTGATGGATAGATTTCCATCTGAACTGATGACTGTAACTTGATGCTAACTGAGAGCAATGTGTAGAATAAGATGAGTTAATCTTTTAATTTACGGTTTTGTCTGCACTACAAACAGCATGAAATAAATACATAATTAGTATGGGGCATAGGATCAGTAACATGCGCTTATGTTGGAAGCGAGCAAAAATACATATTAACGAGTAACGTAGTACAGGCAGAATCAGAAGATTAATATAAGCGTGAAACTTGGGCATTATGATGGAATGTATTTGGATTTTAATCGATTTGTGAGATGCATCACACAGCGAATTACTTTTCGCATACAATTTATTGTCCATAGTCATATCAGGATAACTACACAACTTTGATACATGGTCTGCATAGTTCCAGTTGTCTGACCTTCTTTGTGATATGGGTAGTAGGATTTTCCATATATCCGGAACGAATACCGTATCATTCCTTTTGCGTGTATTTGATGTTGACTCGATAAACAAAGGTTTGGATATCAGTCCTTAAGACTAACATAATGGGATGCGAGAGATTGATAACCGAATCAATATCTAATACGTACAACAGCGATAACTCAATATCAGTTCGGGATATATGGAAAATTCTGCTACTTAGATCGTAAAGAGAGCGAGAGAATAACAGCCATGTAAACTATATCTTAAAGTTTTGGAGTTATCTTGATATAACTATGGAGAATAAATTGTATCTGAAAACTAATGCAGTACATGATACTGTTATGCTGTTGGATGCATCTTTTAAACCAACTAAAAATCTGGTCAACAGTCGGACCTCGTAACTCAGTTAGTAGACCACCGAGCCAGAAACCCGGTGGTCGGTTGTTCGAATCCTACCACGGTCCAATCATCCAGTGTCAATAATAGTCTGCCAAAGTACGGCTATCTCAGATAGTCAAAATGATAATTCATATGATACTCCCCCCCTCTAATTCAGTTACATTTAGATTGGGATGATAAGTCCTGACTGGGCAGCCAGTGTGAGTACGATCAAGCGATAGTAACGCGTCACGAGTTCACATCGTAGTCGGATTAAACCCATGGTGATTGAAGTGAAATAAAAATCTGGTCAGCCAGCAGTCGGATCTTGTAGTTCAGTTGGTAGAACGTTGGGCCGGAAACTTGGTAGTCGCCGGTTTGAATCGTGCTGTAGTCCAGATTTTCATTTCACCTTCAATCATCACCCAGTGTCAACACAAGTCTCCCAAACAACGGCTATCTCAGTTAGTCAAAATGAGGAAATGCAAGGATCAAACGATGGTGCAATTGTATCAAGGTACTGCTAAGCTTATCGCTATATCTTTCTGCGTAAATATATTAGATTTAAAATGCTTGGTAACTCTAGCTGATATTCGGAATGAAAAAACTCTACATAGTTCGGAGAATTATCGAGACTAAAGAAGTATGTGCAAGTTTAGGAATACAAGAACTGGTATCTAACAAGAATAAGCTTTTTATCATAGAGGTGGTAGAGAGAAAAATTCATATCAACTTGGTGTTCAATGATTCTCATATTTGTCTTTATTTCATAGACTGCAACTGATGTATGGAATACATGCGATGTTAGCAAATCAGGACAGTGTTCAGTTGAAGTAAGTGAATGCAAATATGTTATTCTTCATCTGATTTTTACTCTGCAACTTTTTATTAGGTACCGAACACTTCATATATTCGCATATTTGAAGATCTGATGGTTTATGGAGCTGTCGGTCAGTAGTTTACGGAGATGATTATCAACCAATGGATCGCTGGTTCGAACCCCACCCCACTTACCAAAGTTTGGGCAGCCCTTTTAGTATCATCAATAACCCTCACACACTAGGTGTGGTTCACTGCATAAAGTCGCTGAGTAAATTTCGATTCGATTCTATGGTTTGTAACCATCACTGTTCATCGTTAGAAAATAATCCCACTATTTTGGTCTTTCAGGCAGCTAGCTACCAACGACTGACTTTATTGAACTTGTTACTATATACATATATATCTTCTGAGTGTTCTTAATCAACATACAACAGAAGTATCTCACAGTTCACTAGGTGAATCTCTACATATGTATTCAGTTTATGACAATGAAGTTAGTTCATTCTACTACTTAAAGGAATTCGATCAGTGCTAACAAAGAACCTTTCGTCAAAGTTGGTAACTATTCGGTGATAAATCTGCATACTTGACAGTCTATTACTAACCAGTGTTTTCAGTAGCTAATACTTCGTGTTGAGTACTTCTTTTTGAAATGAATAAGTCATAAGATCGAGTACACACAATACTCTTGTATCTCTTCAATTCATAAAGACTTAATAATTCAGAAGTGAGTGAAGATAGCAAACAGCAGTAGTCACCAGAGTAAAGTGTTAAGGTTGTTAACAACCAACAGTAAATAAAACAAGGCAAAATAACATACACTGATAATTTGGATTAAAAGTATCCAACTATTTACATGCTGTAGCGTTTGTCTAGACTAGTGCTTTGAAATATCATAATAAGAAAACTATTTAATTTAAGGTTTATGTGACTTTTATGAGTGACTTCAGAGAATTGTTACGGCAACCAATTACTTTTCTGACCGGAATACTGAAATCTGATTAGTTATTACAGAAAATGTTAGGGTGGTCTTTAAACTCACACAACTTTTACAGTGATTTTGAATGGTCACTCTAGTAACAAGTGAAACAGCCAGTTACATTTGTTTGTTACGGCTAGAAAGGCTTATTAACATGAAATAAAGAAGTTTACTTCAGTTGTTGCTAAGGTGGTCTTTAGAGTCATCCAACTTTTATGAGAGTTACTGTTCATGTTTACTCTGCATAGGTTAGGAAACGGTGAGTTTACGATCAATGCAATAGCCTGCGTTCACTGGTACTTGACGCTGTGCATGAGATCAAGGGTTATTATCGACTTTAAACGTTCTGAATAGGTCAACCAAGTAGTAACATTAACATCTATGCACTGTATGACTTGTGCATGAGTTCGTAAACTTATTTGAACTTACTAAGTTACACCATTTACCTAGCATATATAACGTCTTTGATAAAGGACTGAAATCTATTCATTCGGTCAGTGGAGAAAAATCAGCATCAGACGTTGTAAACAAGAGTTTGCTTGAGGAAAGAAAGCTCTACTTTAGACCGCCTTTATGTGTGTTTACCAACTCATCAGCTCCTGTGGAGCTGGTTACATAGACTGCACAAAGCGTGTTCTATCCAACCGCATCTCCGAATACTTTCTTGCATGGTCATCTAAAGGAGAGTGCCAAGCTGTTAAAAGCACGGTTCTTGAGTATCTGGTTAGCTCTGATCACTTTGTTTCACCAGAATCTTCCTTCAAAATCATCCAGAAGGTCGAATTGCCATCTGAACTCAGCAGAAGCCTTTGCAGTTCATCATTTCAAGCCTGATGCCTGCGTTCGAAAGTGATACATCCAACCTTTAATTTTAGCTTGGTCATAATCTCCGTAAAATGTTTTACCTACTTATCTACAATCACTTTCACTCCTTTCCCTACTCTGTAATTGTTGATTTCAATAGGACTGTCTCACTTTTCGTACCTGTTCTATTGATTCATAGATTATTATGTAATCACCTTGTATTGACCACTACCTATAAGCAATCTTTTATGACCTTGTGTTGACCCATTAGCTATTGGTAAACATATATTTTTGCTGAAAAGGTAAGTAACTTCGAATTGCCGGTTAGAGGTCGTGTTCTAGAATTTACAAAACCATAAGTAGTATCATGTATACTGCTGAGTTAGAAAGGTGTATTGGCTTAGTTACTGAGTCATAATGACAAACATTAGTGCGCATGCTTTTTGTAAACTCATCTCTCAATGTTCACTGGTTGTAGCTTAGGTGAGATGAATAATAAGAATGTATTGACATAAATTTTGATCATATAATTATGGTGAAGCCCTTCATTGACATGAATGTAACTAATCTCTGCATAAGGAGTATAGTAGTTATTCGATTTGGAAGTTTGTGGGAAGGATCGATTACTTTCAAGGCGTTTTCATCACAAACTCATATGAATCAGAAAACCATTGGGGAACTGAGAGCACTAAACACCTGCTTCATCCTCGTAGGATACTTCTCAAGAGTACTCATGACCTCTTGAAAGGTTGAACCCAGGACCGTCAGTTATCTCAACGAGTGTGCTACATTTCAGCCTTTGGGTTGAAATCCGATTGGTCAGTATTGGATTCGTGATATAATACCACCATCTTCCAATGTTGTCGGCGAGTATTTGTCCATTGTGTCCCAACCTAGTGGCTCAGTGGTAACTTGCTCTCTTTGAAACCGGATGGTCCTGGGTTCAATCCCTGGTAGGGTGTCAAGGGTAGCGCACAGATGAGAAGTCATGTACAAGAATAAGACAGCTATCCAGTGCTCTAACACTTTCAATGATTCTCCAACTGATGACAGTTCGTGATAGATCTCACCTTGAAATCAACCAAACCTCCAAACTGGATTACATAATATTCATTCAATGGCAGTGTTGGTCCTTAGATCGTCAATATTAACTGACATTAGTAATAGATATAACTTTTCTGGTGTACAGAACATGTTGTTAGTGACATTTTTCTTGGCCATACTTTGCTCCCTTTCCCATTTCTTTCAATATTCATTATCCAAAGGTATATATGGTTCATTTGACCAGGTAACTTAAATATCAGCATTCTCATTCGACGTATTTAACTGGATGGTATAATTAGCTAGTTTCACAACATTGCATAAAGATATGCGTATAAGGTGGTACAACTCAACAACCACCTACAAATAGGTTAATTAAGATACTATCAGTCACACATACCTGACTAAATTATACCATAGGATTGAGTGGAGCAGGGTTCGAACCTTGATTTGAGTGGTTAACATTCTATTCACTTATTTGTCATAAATGCTTTTGTCTATAAATGCGTATCATAACAAATATTTATTTACTTGTCGATTTATTTTGTTGTTCATTTTAGGAAATTTTCTTTCAGTCAATTTCTTCATTGGCACAATTCACTTCAGCCTACTTAGAGTATTTACATAAATTCTCTGAGTGCATTCTAGTTAAATTACACAAGATTGATACAGATTTTGTGGAGTTATCACAAATCTTAGCTTGGTGGGTCACTTTTAATTGATGACCAGTTATTTAACTTCAAATTGATTTTTTTTCTCTATGCTTTAGAAATATTTCATGTTATATGCCGTTGTTTAATCAGCTTACACCAAGTATTTGCTTTTTCGATAAACTATGCATTTGTTAACTACCTTTCTTAATTGTCTATAAGAGATTATGGGTCATATCGATCGATTAACCTATTTGGATCGAATGGCATTCACCTACCACGTGTACGTTCATGCGGTATGCAATGAGCTACACGTATTGTATGAGGGCTATCTAAACCTCGGTAGGCAGAGTGATGTCCGAACCCCCTGACCTACTAGTTGGAAGTGGAATGCCAAGAATGGTGAGCTACAGCTCCAATAAGTGTACTACTAATAAACAACTCTTGATAGATTATTACATTGTCTTTATCTTTTTATGCGCCTTATCTCCTGGTTGTCTTCCATTCACCATGATAAAGTTAGTTCACTTCTTCTTGGATCATCTTCACCACCTGACCAACAGTAATTTTGAGATAGAGACAACTTTTCTATCTTTGGTAATCGAAATTTTGCAACATAAAACTGTATTTTATTGGTTGCAGTTATCGTAAATGAAGAGATTTCGTATACCTACGCTGATAAAATCCACGGTCTTCTGAACGCGTTAAGCGGAAATCTGAGTATGTTTAACTGACATGAGTTTCGCACCTGTCAAATGTAAGATGATGGATGCTCCATGATTGGTCTGCAGCTGCTTCTAGTTTAAGGGTAGAGTGTGAAGTGATAGAGCGCCTCGATCACTTTACTTATTTGGGGAGTTGCATCAGCACGCTGAACGGGCTGGTTGCTGACGAAATATTAGTGCGGGGATACGGAAGACCTGTTTGGTACTTGCCAACTTGCTTCATCTGTGGTGCTTACTGGTGAGGCATCTGACCATCTATCAAAGGACGAGTATACTGCACTGTAGCCTGTTCCGTCTTGTTGTACGACTGTGAAACAAGGCCGTTGAAAATAGGAAGACATCAAGTGATTACAGGGTTCTGATCACAAATGTCTTCGTACCATTGCTCCCGTTTATTGCAATCACTGTGTTAGCAATGTTGAGTTCAGGAGAGGGATACTAGGCAAGACAGATAAGTCAGCCGATGTGGTTGTGAACCTTAGTCGACTGAGGTGGCTTAAACATGTGTTGCGCCTACCGAGCGATGGTCTACTTCGACGTGCAATGCTGGGGGAAGTTGGATTAGTATGTTATTACTTGTGTTATCTGTCATTGAATAGACCAATTCGATCGGTCTCGATTGGCATGTAAACTCCTGCACAGATGCTTCGATATTGCCTGTGTTTCAATTATATATTAATGATGACTAGTGCTTAGTAAGGAAATCCGGGACGCGGGTTTCGTCCTGATTGGGACTCGTCGGCCTTATGTGCCTGTCTCCCAGTGAGCGATGTTGTTCCCACTAAGAGTCAAAAACGGGACCGATCACTCCAAATTCCAGAGCGTTATCCACTGTTCATCATTACTACAAGATTGAAAAGACAGGCAATATCGAGGCGTCCGCGCAGGAGCCCATGTGCTAATAGAGATCGATCAATGCGGTCCGATCAATAGTGAAATAATACAACCAACAACACAAAAGGTCTAAGACAAGAAATTAGATACATCAAACTACACCGTAGTCATCAATAACTACCCTCCTATATTGAATAATAGATGTCTTAGAAAAATATGACTGATGGTGGTGACGTATATGTTAATAAATAAATAAATAAATAATAATTGCAATATTGTGAAGGGAGAATTCAAAACCCTGACGCTGTTACCATACAAGGATTCACAATGTGGTTAGGCTTTAAGTGGCTGGCATTCAAGCTTACAAACTCACTTAGAAACAAACTTTATAGGTTAAAAGGTCTTATTTATCCAGTTAGGAAAAATAACTTGGGTTTACTAAATCCCTTGGTATGATTATGAGGCCAGTTTAGTCGACTAGGGTTAATCAAACTGTCCGAGCACAAAACGTTCCTAGATCAAGGTTGATCGATCTTAATAGGGCAGGGGATCTAGAGAAAAGCTGGGCTATAGCTATGCATGTGATTTCACTCAATGGCCTGGCACAATGCAGCAGTTTTGAAATCTAACTCAGTGGAGTAGAGGGAGAGATTGATAACTGAATCTTTATTTATTGTATCAATACTAAATATGTGCAAGATGAATGACTCATCAGGTGTTCCGGATATATGGAAAATCCTACTAACCTTATCACTAAGATGGTGAGAAAATTAGAACTATACAAGGCATGTCTCAAAGATGTGGAGTAATCTTAATATGACAATGAAGAATAAATTGTGACCGAAATGCAATCAATTAAATAATACTATTTCACTGTATGTTCCGTCGAATTAAATGGAGTGGATCTGACATGTACATGGAGGTGGCAAAAATGCTTAATTATGTGATCCAATTATTGTGGCCTTTCAATGGAAAGTGAATAACCTAATAATTGAAATGGACTCAGAAACCTTGTGCACATTCGTGCAGTAGGTGATGGGCTACACGCCTATTGTATTAAGGTTAATGATACTGTTACCTGACTACTCAAACCTCGTTGGGTGGTGTGAGGTTCGAACCCATGTCCAACTATTTAAAAGTCAACTGCTTAGTCCAGAGAGCAACATCTCCACTGAATAAACTAATATATGCTTAGTCAATCACTCAAACATACTATGTAGCAAAGTGTTTAAGAATATAATGGTTATATTCAACGTATCGCTTCATTCCCAAGGAGGCAAGGCTTTTTCACTTCCAAGAAATAGGATACATGAATGAAGGAAACTAGTGAACCCTTGGTATTACTCAGTAGTGAGAGTAAGGATAAGTTTTTTTACCTCTATAATTAACTGATAATTTAGGGATGGTTAATAAGTACAATCACACAGTGAGGTTGTCAGCAAGTAAAGATAATCTGCTATTTATCGACATCCGCGTGATGACTGACTAATTGACAGAATCGACGTATAACCTTGCACACAAGTAAATCGGTTCAAGTCGTCACAGTTCACGGTAGTATACAAACAACAAGTGAATAGAAAAGGAGTGATATCAAAGTAGACAAAGTTATACGAGAGAATAAACAACCTGAAAATAATGGTTAGTGGGAATATTCAAGCTTTAGAAAATGTCAGGGAGTGAATACATCTGTACCATTGTGACCCATTTCCAGCCTGCCACCTAAAGTCCTCAACTACTGATTCTTATCGTCTCGGGGACTCCAATCAGGTAGTCTACATCTCCCTGCACAGCTCAGACCAACAGTAAGAGACTTCATTGAATAGTGCCAGGTCCTGGTCTGGCCAATCTGGTCCGTCTCCTAATGCAATTCAACTTTCCCCAGCATAGCGCGTCGAGGTAAGCAGTAGACAGTAGTAGGGAAGTATGGATCACTGGATTCTGACCCAGCAACTCAATGTTAACGTGCCTGCCGCGGAACCTGACGGCAAGGTCATGGTTGCTGTTAAAGAGTCTCACAGTAGGACGAAATACCTATCTGATGCTCTCAGGTTTTCTCTGATTCTGTAACTGATGTCAATCCGGGATGAATACCAAACAGTTATTTAGATATCCCCAAGAATGTTAGGTATACGAAGAAAATGTCCCACTGAATCGACTAACAATCTGTTTTAGGTTTGTTCGCATTATTGTATGCTTACCCTAACATTGGCGTATAGATTTTCTCATCTAAAATTTCATTTTTGAGCTTTGAAAACAACTTTTTATCACTTCTGAAGCATTGAAAGTTGTATGTACTAAGCGAGACCAAAATGATATCAAAATTATGGAATACAATAGTAAATTCGATCAACTGTGGCCTACATTCCATTTATCACTTGCTCTGATACTTTGTTCACTTACATTACTGCATTAGATATTTAAACAAAATGAGTTCAGGTTTACAGGTGATGGTCATTTCATAGTCCATGCGACTGGGAATATATCTTATAATACATATATATACTACTGATTAAAACGAGTAGTTGGAAACCATTCAGATGAATAATTAGTCCCTGTACCCAAATCCAGGTGATCTAAACACCAGAAAGTCTTTTAGCTCTTAAGGAACCGAACTCAGAAGCGGTATACCAGAATTAATTGTACTGTCATAATAGCTTCATTCCTCAAATAACTAACTTCAAAATAGCCCAAATACTTACGAAGACTGGTTATACCCAAGCATGAAAGTATGCCAATTATAATGTAAGTGGCTTCCAATTACTTACGTTAGTCATTAGTATATTCCATGTAGCTGCTGCTACTCGCTTTCTTACCACTATTTTTAGTGCAGAGGACATCTTTAAGAATTGAGAACAACTCAGTTCCGAAAATAAAGAAATTAAGGTGGAATATGACAAACTGGGTTGTGTTCAGTTTTTTTCTTCACTCCATAGGATGAAAATGTCGTGAACACTTAATTCAACATATGATTTTGCCACTTTTGACTTGTCGAGTGTATTTATTTGTGCATTCATCCCCTTCTTATATTTCTTTGTGTTCTTTTTTAAAGCTTCTTCCACCTTTCTGTTGAAGCTCAAGTCTGTCTTTGTCAAGAATTTATTAAGAACATGAAAAGTGTAAGTAAAATCTCTTTACTTCATTTCATATGGTTTCTGATATCCTTTATGCATCAGTACATAGACGTAACCAGTCCTTAAGTTTGTTGGTTATTTTATTGATGCTGTCTGGTGATTGAGGGTGAAATGAAAATCTGGGCCGCAGTCGGACTCGAACTAGCGACCTCCAAGTTACCGGCCAGGTGCTCTACCAACTGGGGTACAAAACCCGCCTGTTGAGCAGATTTTAATAATTGTGAGTACGATCAAACGATAGTAACCCAACATGAATTCGCAAGGCAATCGCACAAAACCCTTGGTGATTGGACTGAAATCTCGATGAAGTTTCTTACCGTATGGGGAGATGTAGACTACCTGGTTAGGGATTGTTGGTAACAGGGCTGAAATGTTTATTCTGTCATACACTTTTGCTTATTTCGATATGAGTCTTTCTCTATCCACTCGTTCTTGGTATGATATTATGAAGTGTGGCAACTTGAACCGATGTACCTGTGTTCAAGGTTCTACGTTCATTCTGTCAGCCAATCAATCAGTCGGGTCTCGTAGCTTAGTTGATGGGAGATCTGACTGGCAACCCAAAGGTCGCTGGTTTGAGTCTTGCTGCAGCGCAGACTTTCTTGCCACGTTCATTCATCATCCAGTATCAATACAAGTCTGCCAAACCACGGCTATATGAGATAGTCCAACTGGTTATGTTATTGCCGGAAATTTGTCAATGTATAAAATTTTTAATTCGTGATATTCATCATACACGTTTTAGTGTTTATCGTTCATTCTGACAGTGTAACCAGGAATGCAAAATAGGTGATGGAAATATTTAGTGGAGTGAGTGTCTGTTTAAATAATTATGAGGAAAAAAGATATGTAGTTACCAACAAATGAATTTCTAATTCAGTTTGAAGATGATGTATTGCTTAGCGTATTCACTTGTCTATTGAAACTGTAGTAGTAGCCCTCAATCTGACAGAATCCAAGCTGATATAGAAAAAATATCACAGTTAAATAAATTCATTAGACAGTATCAAGAGGTTATATAAATTTGAAACTACAACTTATTGTTATAAAGGCATTTAAATCTCTCTAGCTCGAGTCCCATTCGGAAGATTAAGCAGTCAGTTTTCTTGGAATGGTACTGATTATATTACCTAGTGTAAAGGAAATTCACATAGTTTTTAATTTACACTGTATAATTGTAGTTCATAATGATATATAGTGCATAGTCATACAATTTTAGCATCTTTCTGTGTAACCCATTCACGAGATATAGATTATATCTGTCTTTTAAAGTTTCAATGTTAGACTAAATTATGACATCAACTCTCCTGTCCATACCGTTAACCTTAACATAAATAAGAAGTATCCAGGGAATGTTTCAGTGAACATTCTTTATCTGGTTTCGTATCAAACAGATGTTCATAGTTGTATGTATTCTGTAGTATTAGGTAAAAACAGCTGTAACACTGGTATATTCCTGAGTTAACCTCGTTGCCAATTTGTTATAACACTTGGTTCAGACTTAATGCTCATCTCCAACGTGATTGATCTCGAATTTACTTGTTGAGTCTCGTATACTCAACTAATCCACGCAGTGAGTCACACGATTCCGCCCTCCCCTGAAACCGCGTACAACCGAACACCAAGTCTGATGCTTAGTGTCCGTATTTATTATTATTATTATTGGAACACAAACATGGTACAACAAGTGCAACAAGAAATGGGTACATAAAATAGTATAACAACATTGTGAAGATATAAACGATGGAAAGTGGACAAGCAAGAAAGTAAAAACAATAAGAATAGCATGATTAGGAGGGTAGTCCGGTAATCTATGTTCGAAACGAAACATTCATTACTTCTCAGCAGTAAAATATAGAAGGATGCTACAGCATGACCGCCACTGGTTTCTATTCTGAGCCCTATCTGATAACATTTCAAGCCACTAAGTTGTGTGATCTCTCGGACTCTACCCAGAGACTCGTGATGCACCGACAAATGTTAACCCGATACAACTACCCTTTGTTCTACGGCACCACGTCATATACTGAGCAATTCTTCACTTCTTCCATCCAGTCCCAGTGCTAGCAAACAATCAACGGAATGGAAGCCTTTGGGATGACATGCGCAACACATGTCGAAGCCGATGTTTCTAGATGACTTCACTCATTGAATGGCGATCTCCATCATATCCAAACACGCGCTGTCATACCTCACAATTATTTACATGGTGTTGCCACCGGATACGAGTAATCACCGTTGCCTTCGTAATATAGGACGTATTCCGTGGTGTCACCACATGAGTAATGCAGAAGTTAGGTGTAGAGTTTTGGGGAGAAGAGGTAAGTCAGTCGACGAGGTTGTGAACCTTCATCGACTGAGATGGTTGGGACACGTACTATGTATGCCTAGTCACCGATTGCCTCGTCACACAATGTTGACTGAGGTGGGTCAGGCTGGAAAAAGGCCCGAGGTGGCCAGACTAAAACATGGCACCAATGTATGAAGTCTCTGACTGTTGGTTTAAGCCATGTAGGACGATGCAGACTAGGTGGTTGGGGTCGGTGGGACAAGAGGAACCAGTGGTTGGAGACCCAAGGTGATATGGCTTAGAACCGAAGTCAGTGTCGCAGATGTATACACACATTATCCTCATCTTAACAACGCTATGCTGAATCTCACCATTTTGTCACTCCTCTTTCCTTTCTTTTCATACTTTATATTTCTTTTGACTGCATTCACTTATGTTCATCCTTCACCTCACTACCTTTTTACTTGATGTGCTGATATGAGGTGTGGCAACTTGGACCGTTACGCAGTAATGCCTGGTCCTATGTTGATAATGATGATGATGATGATACGAGTAATCCTATGGACGCAACGATGATCGAACATAGCTCGGAGAACCCATGTTTCACAGACGTAGAGCATAACTGCTCGCATCAAAGCGTTGTGAACCCTACCTTTTGCGGTCAGACTAACGTCGCGACAGCGCCAAAGGTGGCCCAGATTGACGTATGTCACTCTGGCTTTGCACTTTAACGGTGCAAAGCACATACCATAAATACGGACACTTATCACCAACTGATTAAGTGTGAATTGAGTAACCTGTGTGTTATCGCGGAGTAAGACGATATCGTCCGCACATTCAAGGTCGAGTAGCCGTTCTCCGGGTAGTACACCACCCTCACGCGCCTCCTACAGAGCTGTCTCAGGAATGTCATCGATAGCTAAGTTAAAGAGGAATGGAGAAATCGGGCAACCCTGCCTAACCCTATTGCTGGTTTGGAAGAATGGAGATAGGTAGTTGTATGCCCTCACTCTACCTGAGATGTTATTTGCTATCCGTATATCTCAGACGATCTGATTCATCTGTATATACAATTACAGCGCACCATAATTTGTAAAGACGAAACAGCTAATTTGAAGCGCACCAAGTGAGAATTGTGCCCAATAATAGATTGGTTTCAGTCAGCATGCCATTTTTGAACTAGTATAAGTCATACATAAATAAATCAGGGTGGGGTCAGTCGGAAGCTCTTGAACCGAGAAAGCTATGCAATAATGTTGCTAATGACTTTTGCAATAAGTAAACTAGTATCACCAGTGACACTTATCTGAGATTCACATCTTCCTCTTTTCAGCTGATATAATAGGCACCTAGGTTGAGGATTTCCTGTCAGTTACTCTCGTCGACCAAATACGAGATGTTTGCCAGCTAAATTTATAAGATTCCAATAGCGCAGAGGGATAAATGTGTTATTATGGTGGGGGAAATGCAATATGGGAGCCGCGCATTGGCCTGTCTGCTGAAATATGTATGCACCTCACATATCATGCAAAGGTTTAGGTTATAATCCAGTCGTCTAATATGAGCTAATTAAAGTGGGTTGAGACCTGCAACTCAGTAGTTAGTGGTCATATCAATGAGCCACGTTCCTACATCGTCTGACTGACTGACCAGTAGAATTAAACTTTACCAACCTTTTATCGTGTATAATTTCTTAACAAGTATTTAGACTATGGTACACAGCTTCTATATCGATTGCATTGATAAGATGCTGTAAGATTTTCAATTTTCAGAGAATAAACTTCCCAATACTGATTCACTTAGAAGATAGATAGTGAACAGTATATTTCATGTGAAAGCCAACTTCACTACACAAACTGTTCACTTCTCAGTAAGTAAATAAGTGTGCTATCCTACTTTTTTAGTGAATTCCGTTAGATATCATTGAAATTAGTTCTTTATCAACATCATTGGGATTCGCATTTCTCACTTCATCCAAAACGTGACCAAACTAACTAACTGACATTAAGCCATAGTGCATAACCTCTGGTGTGTCATATCTTCGCGGAATGAAGGAGGAGGAGGAGGATGAAGAAGCTCTTCTGTTTTCTCATAACTAACAGCAAATGAAGTGAACTCTTTATTCAACTTTTGAGTTGGGTTGTTGTTGTTGTGCATATAATTGTTTTTAGCGTTTCAAAGGTAACCTTCTAACAGTATTTGTGATCTTTCTATAGAAGTTAAAGATATTACTGTCTCTTTTTTAAATTTTAGCTACGTGAAAAGAGATCAACTGAAGAAGGGGATGAAAAATCGAAACAATTTCTATCAGTTAGTCAGTACACTTCAAGTTTACTGTTAGAATGTAGTAATGCTGGCAGTTACTTGAAAAATGCATTCAACCTTTTAATACCTGTTGTTCAATTGGCCTGTATAAATCATGTATACCCTTCAAAACTTTGATTGACTGACGTTTATTTATATGATAAAATCAACCGTTTTTTCTTCTCTTATCTGTTTCTTAATGTGCAAACAAATTCAGTGGATTATTTGTGATAAGGAGAAAAGAAGTTTATTATCAGTCTTTCATAGAAAAAAAAGGTAAAAATTAACAGTTTCTTTTTTGGTTGGTTGCTTTATATTTTAAAATTTTCCGAGTCCACTATTTCTTTGAAGATGTCAGGATAAAATAAATTTCTATTGTATAATTAAATAAATTTGTAGATCGGTCCATATTGTCAGGGGGATGTACTAGACTTATTTGACAAAACTGCTAATTGAGTGTGAAGTACATTTTTGACGTCTTATTTCAAACACAACACATCATGACCCCCCGTCTTCCAAATGAATCGGAAACCCATTATCGTGTTAAACTAAAACTCCAAACTTATACCTAATTGCCATACTTATCCGCCTTATTACGTCATAGATAAAAGCATGTGATACAGTAATATAAAACGAGCAACTGATACACGTCTGTACTCTTGAATAATCATTAAGCTTTAAGTGCCATCCTTAAGAGTTTCATAGTTCCCTTCGTAAACCGTAAGATTCAGCGAAACGGTTTATTAGCAAATCAGAACGCTGACTAAGAGGAACAGTATACATGCATATATTTTCCCAATGGGGTTGGTATTTTCTACACTAATTCTAATAAGGCATTTTCTATCGATTAAATCCTATTGGTCAGTCTGTAGCTCACTTGCATGATAACCTAGCTCCTCACAAATGTTCGGCTTGGGATAAAGGGTTGTGACTTTTTCCAGTGGATTTCAGGCTTCAGAGTATTAATCGGATGGGGGAATCATTGAAAACCCACGAGAAAAAAAACACAGCTGTTTCGACCTAGGGTGGAAGTCTTTGGCGGTGAGCATTCAAATAGATAAAATCAACCTAGAACCTTGCACACAAGTGCATCGGTTCAAGCTTCCACACCTCGTGGTATTATAACAAGAACAAGTGGATAGAAAAAGACATATCGAAATAGAAAAAGGTGTATGACAGAATAAACATTTCGGAGACAACGGTTAGTGCAGACATATTAGCTTAAGATGTCAAGGAGTGAATGCATCTACGCTATTGTGATCCATTTTTAGTCGTGTTACCAAGAGTCTTCAAACACTGATTCTTATGATCCTGAGAACCTTAAGCAAGCAGTCTGCAGCTCAGATCAACAGTAAGGGACTTCATCAACTGGTGCCAGGTCTCAGTCCTCTTTCGACGTAATCCAACTTCCTATTGCATGACACATGGGGGTAAGCGGTGGCTCGGCATACGTAGTACATGCCCAAACTGTCTCAGCCAATGGAGGCTCTCAGTCTCATCGATCAACTTGCTTATCTTCCCTTGTACCCCTCGTCTGAACTCTGCATTGTTCACACGGTGACTCCACGAAACGCGAACAATGTTACGAAGACCTCTGTGATCAAAACTCTGTAACCTCTTTATGTCTTCTAATTCTAACGGCCATGTCTCAACCTTATAACGGGACAGATCGGGCTGAGGTGCAGTATAGTTTCTTTGATAGATAATCGGCTATATCGCCATTCGGCACCAAAGATGACGCAGGTTGGCAAATGCCAAACGGGCCTTTTGTATCCTCGCACTGGAATTTCACCAGAAAACAACCCGTTCCGGTTGGAGTTGCAACAGCAACACGCCACATGAGTGAAGTGGTTGACGCATTCCATCACTTTAATCATTATCAATAAACAGAGTGATTGCAGACCACTCCTGTAACATCATCTTGTATGCATGCCAAAAGTACTCAGATTTCTACTCAACGCGTTCAGAGGACCCTGAATTCCGTCAGCGTCTTCACCTAGCAAGAGAATATTGTCTGCATACTTCAAGTCAACCAGAAGACCTCCAGGGAGCAGGCTTATCCCTGGGAAGTCAGACGTACATAGGGTCATGTCCGTCTATGGTGAAGTTAAATAGGGACGGTGAAAGTTGACATCCCTGGCGAACACCACTAGTTATCGTCGATTCAGATGACAACTCTCCATAAGCTCAGACACGGCTCAGTGAGTTTGAGAAGAGAACTTTTTTAAGCACCATATACACTCTCGCTACTTCCTTCACAATCAGACTTGCAATGCCACAACACCTCATTGTCGATTGCATCAAATGCCACCTTCAGGTCAAAAAATATGGCAAGCATCCACCGCCTATAAGTATGTCTGTGTTCCAGAACCTGTCGGAGGGTGAAAATGTGATCGATGAACCCTCTTCCAGGTCTGAAACATGACTGGCTTTTTGGAGTTCGCTGTTCTTCAGTTAGGTGTCAGATGACTATGGGTCCTAGGATCGTGGACACAGTATTAGTCAAACGAATTCCCCTTTGCTTGTCACAAAAAGATTTCTCTCCCTTTTTGCAGACTGGAATGATCGGTGAAGTGGATCAGTTTGACGGCAAACTGTCAGGTCCTACTGCTTTGTATTATTCCAGGTTCGATACAGCCTTCTCAGCATCAAAGAGAGTTGGAGGATAGATACTTATGTCCCACTCTGGCTCAGATCGGATGTTGGGTAAGTGAAGCGTTGCTGAGGACTGTGCTTCATAGTGTTCCGCACAACGTTCTAGCCACCTGACCCAGGAGGTTATCAGCATCCCATCCTTTTCGGTGATGGTTTCACTAACGTCTTCTTATCAGTATCCTTAATAAGCCTAAGTAGTTGCCGAGTGTTACCCGACGCTGATGCCTTCTCTGTCTCTCGCTTTCGTCACCAACCACTGATCGCGATCGACGTGAAGACTCTTGATCCCCTTACGTTGGAGTTGCTTCCGCTCTTCATCGTAGCCAGAGCCAGCTGGAATCAGACTTCTCACATCAGTTAATTTGGATGACCGCTGCAAAAATCCAATAGCATGTGCTAACCTTCAGGTGTAGGTTACCAATTGTCTTTACTGTTGTTTCTACAGCAGACCTAATGTCACTCCAGGTTTCCTCAGGATGAGCATTGCTATCATGTTCAGATAAATGCTTAGCTATCGCCTACCTAAATGCGTACTTGGTGTCCTCAGCTTCCCAACTTCAGCTTCAAAGCCACCTGCCATTATGATTACAGGGTGGAGTGCATTATTTTTGAGGCCGGTCTTTCCTGACTCCCTCTTCCCACAAGAAGGGCAGCATCCAAAGGAAAACACCTTATTGCTGTCACACCCTATCCGGGTAGCAGCAGTACGACTTCGCCTTTACAACCCGATCATAATGTAGTAATTTAGATTACAGCAGTAACTGCTTTTCATCTCACCACTATCCAACAGACCTTTCTGGCATAGTACGACCTCGATGGGACAAGGCGTCCCACCAGCATACCTCGTTAGGTCATTGTAATACGCAAGCCCGACCACTGCGTGAAGAAAGCAGCTATCGGGTGCGCAATTACAACCCTACCAGGTAATCAACCCGAATTTCTGGTGAGGATCTTTGACGTGCGGGGTCATTCAGGTCGAGTTTAAAGAAAAATACTGGCTGGTAGTATTGGATGTGCTAGGTCGGGAATCGACGGAAGTAGGGAAACATCAACTACTGGATTCAGACCCAGTGTCAACGTGTGGTGGCGTCATAGGTGGACACGTAGTAAGAGTCCTAAACTAGGAAGAAACAGCCGTCCAATCCTCTTGGGTTTCCAATGGTTCTCCAACTGTTATCATTTTGTGGTGAGTACGACCTAGAAATCAACTAATGCTTACAGAACTTCAGGGTGGGTTTTGAACTTCTTCGGAAGATCTAGAAAGTAAGACTTTAATTCATAGTATATACCTAACAACTGACGCATAAATTTAAAGTGCTTAATTCGTATGTTTTGATTCATTCTACAACAGCACGACACTCTTATATAACAGGCAAAGATTGAGTTTACCTAAAAACTCAGTAGTCATAGCTTAACGTGATATATTTATTGTAATCTATGAGTGCGAGTGACTTTAAAGGACACCCTAGCAACTGTTGAAATAACCAATCATTTTTCTTCGTTTTAGCAATACCTACCTTCTCAGTCGAAATACTGGAAGCGGATTGGCTATTTCAGCAGTTGCTAGCGTGACCTTTAAAGCCGTTCATAAGGACTGGATATTTTGTTTGAAAAGGTACTATATTTTAACTGATAGTTGTGATGACTGATTATCATTTATGAAAATGGTTTTGACTAAAGAAGTTTCCCAAAACCTTTATCGCTTGATAGCTATTTCACTGTTATAGTTTTTTATCATCTTTAAATACAATCTCCAATGAGTACATTGTATGAAGTTTTAGCTTTAGTCATGGTGAAGATATAAACCCAGTGACCTCAATGTATCTTGTTTATGTGAAGAGGAAGACAAAAGGTTAGGTTGTAAGATCCATGGAAAAGGAACAATTCTATAGATGTTTTTACCAGGCGCTCATTGCCTTCACTTTTTAGTGACCCTCCAACTGCTAGTAGATACTTAGATTGATGGTAAAATCTTCCTTTAATGTTTCTGAATCCATTCTCTTTATATACTTGAATTAATTAGTGGTATATGGAATGAGAACAATGTTAAACGAAGTCTAGGTCCCGAGTGTGAATTTTAGTGGGAACAACATCATTCACTGGGAGGCAGGTGCATCCAGCTGACGAGTCCCAAATCGGACGAAATGCACATCCTGGATTCTACTACTAGCTACTACCCATCATTACTAGATAATTGAGAACACAGGCAATATTGAGATATCCGCGCAGGAGCCCATATGCCAATAGAGACCGATCAATTCGGTCCAATTATCGGCGGTATAATACAAGAATAATACCAAGAGCAATACTGTTTATTTAATTCGGAGCGATGATAAATTCTCGTCTATATCGGCTTAAGTAACATCAGTGTGATAAACTGTCTCAAATGAACTTGATCAGGGTTAAGTTTCAGTCAGACTAACAGTTGACCTTATTAAGGCGATAATCAATTTGAACCTCAGCTAGTTTACTAGTTACTAACC